CTGACAATGCCTTACACACCGGAACAGAACGGGTGTAGTGAGCGTGAGAACCGAACCCTGGTAGAGGCCGCGAGAAGTATGATGCATGCAAGGAATGAGTTACCGCAAATTTTGTGGGCGGAATTGATTAATACCGCAGCGTATGTTCTGAATAGAACAGGCCCAAGTCGAGTGACAGACAAAGTTCCATACGAACTATGGCACGGCAAAAAACCTCGAATATCACACCTCAAGGTTATTGGTAGTGAATGTTATGCACATATCCCAAAGCAGAAGCGTAACAAAATGTCTAGGAAAGCCATGAAAGGCATTCTTATTGGCTATGAAAACGACGATGGATATCGTGTGTGGGACGGACATCAAACATTCAAATCCAGAGACATAACTTTTCAAAGTAATGTTGAATTCACATTACGGTTAGGGTCTGAGGATGCTACTGATACTACTGAGCAAGATGATGATGGAGAGTTTGTCGATGCTGAAGGGGAAGAGAATTTTCCGGCTGAAGGGGAACAGCAACCTCTTGACATAGTTGAGCCTCTGAGAGTAGAGGTGCCTCGACTAGAAGGGGAAGAAGAGGAAATTGTAGTCGCACAGGTCAACTCTTGCTCCCCCTAAGAAGTTCGATGACTACGTCTGCTTTGTAGGCACAGAAAACTTTCCAGAGAGCTACCATGAAGCAATAAGTAGAACTGACGGTGCGGAATGGCGGAAAGCCATGGCCAGCGAGCTTCAGTCACTCAAGGAGAATAATGTATGGACACTGTGCGAGCTCCCGTCTAATAGAAAGGCGCTACCATGTAAATGGGTTTTTCGGATTAAACGACACCCAGATGGAAGCATAGACAAATATAAGGCGCGATTGGTCGTTAAAGGGTTCAGACAACGGAAAGGGCTAGATTATGAGGAGACATATAGTCCGGTAGCCAGGATGTCTACCATTAGAGCTCTTTTAAGCGTTGCTGCACAAGAGAAACTTCATTTAACACAATTTGACGTCGCGACAGCCTTTTTAAATGGGAAATTAGAGCAGGAAATATACATGTCACAACCTCCTGGCTTTTCTGATGGCTCTTCGAAAGTATGCAGGCTACAGAGGAGTCTATATGGCCTAAAGCAAGCTCCTCGTTGCTGGAACATGTGCATTGAAGACATTCTGTTGCAAAAAGGATTCACACAGAATGAAGCTGATTGTTGTCTCTTTACAAAGACAGAAGGGGGCAATAAGATTTTGTTGGCGTTGTACGTGGATGACGGACTCATGGCCACTACAAGCGAGGCTTTGGCAACTAAATTTTTGAAGGAGCTGGGACAAGCTGTCAAAATCACAAGCAAGCCGGCTTCGTATTACCTTGGCCTTGAAATAGAACGTTCCAAGGATGGATCTATATTTATAAGCCAACAAGCTTATACGCGGAAGATCCTCGAACGCTTCAATATGATTGACTGCAATCCCGTCTCTACACCAATCGAAACAGTGACTTCAGAAACAGGGAAAGCACCTGAGAAAAAGTTTCCTTATCGAGAGGCAGTAGGAGCCTTAGCATACCTGATGACAGGAACGCGCCCCGATATCGCGTATGCTGTTGGGGTAGTATCACGGAAGTTGGAGAATCCGACAGAAGCTGATTGGCTGAGAGTCAAGAGGATCTTCAGATACCTTAAAGGAACAATGTCCCATGGCATCAAATACAGTTCGGGTCCTTGCAAAGCTGTAATTCGAGGATATAGTGATGCAGATCACGGTGGTGATGAGCTTAGTGGACGCTCAACCACAGGCGTTATTTGTATGTATGCTGATGGAGTTGTTTCGTGGCTAAGCCAACGTCAAGCATCGGTCGCGATTTCAACAACCGAAGCGGAAATTGTGGCAGCGAGCGAAGGTGCACGAGAACTTGTGTGGCTTCAGAGGATCTATGCTCAACTTACAAGTTTGGCGGACATATCAACTTTAAGCGTGGATAATGAAGCAGCCATTCGCCTTGCCCACAATCCCGAATTTCATAAACGGACGAAACACATCCGAATACGTCACTTCTTTGTACGTGAAATTGTGCAAGAAGGTCTATTGAATGTGCAGAAAACTAGCTCCACAGAGCAATTGGCTGACCTTTTGACGAAGGCAGTACCAAGACCCAGACTCGTTAAACTGAGAGAGGATTTGGGTCTGCAAGATCTTTCCAACTAGTGAGGGAAAGTGTTGAGGTTGCATAGCACTAGTGAAAAGCTCTTTGGTACATTGCTAGGCAACTAACTGTTAGAAAAATTTAATGTCACTCGTGAATAAAAAAGAAGATCATGTCGAATGTGTGCAATATATAAAACTAAATAAATAAACAAATAATCTAAATATTTTGTAACCAAATAAACCTAAATTATCGCTATAAAGTGTCAGTGTTGTCATACTGGAGAAAACCCCTACTATCTAGCCGAAAACTAAAGTGGGAAATACATCGATCACGATTTGGTCTCCGGAGCTTCCAGATTGGTAAGAAAATAAGTAGACCACGTTAAATACTAACTTTATTTGATTAGGAGCTGAAACAGTGCACAAGTAATTTAAATAAACTTCCTTAAGATGTGGTTTCCAAGTTTGTTTACCGTCAATAATTATTACACTTAGGAATTTAACCTTGTGTTGTCTTTGTCTTCCATATTGCAATTTTTACGACACTCTTTATTTTCATTATAAAAAGATCCAGTGTTCAGAGGAAAAAATAAGTATCTACCTACCTATGTACAGTTCGTTTTAAGGATACTACCGCTTATAACGCCTACACTCAAAGTTAAAAGCATTTATTAGAAGTAAACCATAAATAGGTACATAATTATAAGTAGTCAGTCAGTCTGTTCGTCAATGAAGCTAGGTGCATGTTCCAAATTGTGGATTCGAATAAGAAGACCGAGTAGAAACTTCATCGTTACTTTTCAGATAGTCATCATCTTCCTGCATTTGTCCCGTTTTATTTGGGGTCGGCGCAATATGTTTTTTTCTTCCATTGTGTCCTTACGTTTTAGCTAGTAAGTATTAAAAAACCAGGAAAAATAGAGAGAGATATTTTTTTCTTATCTTTGAGTGTGCCTTGTAGTGAGGCGCTGGGTGCTGGGCGCACGTACGTATTGCTGATACCAGCTGCTATCGGTAAATACGCTAAAAGGGTAATTATGTCCGAACTTCCAATTTCATAAATATCATCAAGTTGCGTGGTTATTATGTACGTCGGCGCTAACTCAAAGACTCTAATTGCCTACCTTTGGGTTTGAGTAAACCCTGAGCGTACGGTAGTGGTGGCAGGGTGGGGCGGGGGGGAGTGTCAGACTGTTTCTGACTAAAAACGCCCCCGTACCTTCTCCTGCTTTAGGCTGAGGCGCTTGCCCCGCAACCTCTGCTGAACATCAGCCCTATAGGGCCCCGCCTGAGGTGGTCTATTGGTTTTGATCGGGTGGCGAGCTAGCCTTACTCGCCGTCCACAGACCCACGCTTACAGTGGCCGGAGATCATCTCTCAATCCCCGGCGACGGCTAGGTCGTGAGGAGGATAGTTCCCTCACGCGCTTCACCTACTTCTTTGCAAACATCACTGCTTCGCAGAAAGAGGAGACGTCTTCCCAGTTCGCCGCACGCGAGAGATCGCTGCAGCCGATCCCTTCCCTGAGGACACGGCGCGGCTCAGCCCCAGCAGGGCACACCTCCACCGTGCCTTCGATAAACGGAGCCTGCATTGCGTTTCAGGTCCAATTCTTTACCCCATTACAAACTCTGACTCCTAATCATATTTTACCATTAATAATATTTTAATCCTTAATCTTTCAACTCCTAATCATTAGTTTTAAGTTAAATTCTTACTAACCAATTTGTATGGACTGCTTTGTCTGAAATAAACGATTTTTATTTTATTTTATTTATTATAATTAAATTTAGAAAGTAAAGAGTAAACATATTCATAATATTATACATATTACCGGGCGGTTGGCGGGTGATGTGGGATATGATGTGATCCACTCTATGATTTTCTCTTGTGTCGTGGGTGCGCAAAACGTAAGCCAAATTGGTATATATTATAATGTTTACTTCAGTTAGGAAAGTTAATAATAGCAATCTCTTTTTACGGTTCATAGACGTATAAAATTACATACACAAGCCACTCAGACCCGAAACGAAAAAATATGGATCACACAGGTTGTTCCCCGCGGGAATCGAACCCGCGACACACTGCACAGCAGCCAGTTGCCTGTGTCAACGGTGCAGGCATTTCTATCTTCAACTCATCCGTACATGGAATTATGTTTATGAAAAAATTTCGTTGCGGATTTATGTAAAAAGGAGTATTTATCATTTTGTGACGTAATGGACAATTTCGTGCACAATTAAATATTTAACGACACGCTTTTGGACGAGGACTTATATTAATAGGAAGATAAAACTCTTTGCAACAAAATATGTAGATAAAACTCTTGAAAACAATTAATTATGTCAGTAGCAAATCTTAGCGTTATTATATATTAGTGATAAATTCGAAAATAAATCCGATTGCTATAAAATACAAAGTAATTTACATCTACATAAAGACCCTCGATAAAATAATCGCAAATTTAATGAATAAGGATCGATATGATAACTCGCATTTTACGTAGCTTACCTCGAATTAATTAAAATTTCTTTGCAAAAGATGTTATTGTCATGTGGCCGTGATAGTTACATACTTAGATATACTTATACCGTCTCTAATATTTGTACATATTACTGAGACCTACACAAAACTGCAATAGATGGGTGAATCATTGCATTATTTCGTTCAGTTGACAATTTGATTAAATGAAATGTAATTTGGTACTTATTTCTTGAATATTCACTTGTAAATGTATGTAGGCATCTGTCCGGAAGGACTCGTTTGCCAAAATACGTAACATTTTGCATAACAATAAAGCCGCGAATGGCAGCGTCCAGCGCGACCGTTCACCAGCAGTTGTCAGCAAGGCGCGCTGTGCGGTTCCGGGCGCGGCGCGCGACGTATCTCCGCGTTATCAGCGGCCGCGGCAGCTGGCTGTGCCGGCTCCGGCGACAGTACACGGCGCGACATGGCGCGGGCGGCCACTGCACGCACCGCCACCAAGCAGCTGGACGATGACGCTGGCGCGGCCGCCGCCGACTCGCTCGAGGCCGCGCTGGCCCAGCTGGGACCCTTCGGCTTCTACCAGGGATACATGCTGATAATGCTGTGCATCCCCAACCTGCTCGCCTGCATGTACTCGCTCAACTACGTATTCGTCGCTGACCAGGTGCCGTTTCGGTGAGTGCAAAGTACATATCTTGTTATAACTATGTCTACCTGTCCATCGAGCTCGTATCGGTCCAGTGTGACAGTATCAAGACAGTTGGCATTTTGGCATTCCAATGTTGGTAGCTACGTCCGAAAAGAAATTACATGTATGATTTTTATTACGAGCAATAACACGAGTCGTAAATTAAAATTATATAAGTAACACTGGGTTCTAAACAAACCTGGTATTGTTTGTTCGTGAAGTGAACAGTTTGAAACGTCGTGTAATTCGGCAGGTCGATGTTTCCACAGGTGTCGCCGGCGGCACGCGGCGTGTGTATCGAGATAGCGAACGATTGTTGTGTGATTGATCTTGGTATTATCAACAGATATCACAAGGCAATTTGAATATTTCATAAATTACAAAGAGCGAACTTGTTACAAAACATAAAACAATTAATTGTTATTGTAAAACTATGTTACGTCTGCGTCTGCGTTAATTAATGCGCATATATTTACCTAGATAACATATGAGTGTTTTATAGCTCGCTCACGACTTTACTACAAGTAAACATCCTTTGTTGGAGATTCGAACCTGCTTCTTGCCACTCACTGTTTCAATTTAAAGTTTACAATCACCAATTTACCTTGAGCGAGAGTGATGATGATTACAAAAGGAATTGCATCGGCGCGTGAAAACCCTCCACAAAAAACACAGTACGCCGCATCATGCGTATGGTATTCGATACAGGTGTGTGCTTCACTCTCCCCATGATTACCGTGAGCGACTATTATAGGACTACATATTTGGTGAAAATCGTTAGAACCGATTGTACGGCGCGTAGCGTTCCATGCGCGCCTCATAGAGCCAGACCACCACAGGCGGGGTTGCGGAGCAAGCGCAATGAGGCATCGCCTAGAGCAGGAGAAGGAACGGGGATGTTTTAAGTCATCCCAATCTGGGCAGGAGAATTAATTTGATGAATTTCCTCTCACAAAAAAAGCATTGAGATTATATCTATGTATTTAGAAGACGCCCAATATCCAGGTGCTAGTGTGCCACGTGCCAGTCAGCGATCCTAAACCGCACTGTAATTATGATAATGATTTGCAGCTTTCAATATACATAGGTAGTGATTACTACTTATCACAATAAAACCGCGTCATACAAATATTGTTCTGTAATCACGAGACTTGCAGAACGATGCATATTATTGCAGCTGTGTAGTGGCAGACAAGCTGGCAGCGTGGTGGCGGTCATACCTGACCGAGTTAAATATTTACTGATAATTATTGCGATCGTTAAATGAACAACATAGTCAAAATGAATTAGAATAATATGGCTACACACTAAATGTTTTCCACTGTCAACTACAAAGCACATCCCAAAATAAACTGTAAGTGAATCACATAAAGAATCATTTCATTTGGGAATCGTACCCAAGCCACGTAGCAGCCGTGGTCCAGCAACTAGTCAACATGTAGAGTATAAACACTAAATATTACGAAATAATTAATCTCAATACATTCGCGTCGTTTCTTCATCAATTGTTTTTATTTTTGTTTTTGTTTTTTAAGAAAAACGTTTGCCCCACCCTAGGATTTTCTCCTGTGTCGTGGGTGCGTTTGCAAACATAAAATTCCACATACACATCACACCCAGACCCGGAACAACAATTTGTGGATCACGCAAAGAGTAGTTCCTTGCGGGAATCGAACCCGCGACACGTTGCGCGGCAGCCAGCTGCCCAGCCACCGCGCCAACCGTGCAGTCAAATTGCAGTCAATGGTCAACTTGGTTAAGAAGCATGCCTTCGTGCGTCGACACTCAATCTTTAGCGTAGACCCAGCATCGCTCAGGCGCTCACAATCTTATCACGAGGTGGTTTGATAACAGTCACCGTGTCGATCTGTGTGTGTATCTATCTGCGACCTGACCTACAATACAACCTGCTCATCCCATACACAGTGTGACGTGACATGCACCAGCACCGTGTACCTGTACTATCAGTATGCGGCTGCGAGCTGAGCGCGGCGGCAGCTGGCGCGACGCGTTACGAAATCATTCACCTAGTTAGGAATTACATTATTTTGATAAACTCGTCCCACTCAACAAAGTGACTCATTGATGCTATTATTATTCACCTTCCGATAAACACATTATGTATGTAGGTTCTGTAGTATTATTTTATGACACATCTCGAACAAACTGTATTTCTTACAAAATGTTTTATTTGCCTTGTACGTACTTAAGTCGGAATACATTTATTCACACTTAGATAAAGTTTATGTAGGTACTACCTATGGCGAAATATTTGGTTAGCTTCTTCCTATTTTAGTATAAAATACCTGAATGCAGATCTCCTCAACTAAATGCTTAAACAACTAGCATGAAATAGACAACGTGTTCATTACACGAATCACTGATACTATACAATGTATACAGCTGAGTTTAGCTTACGTTGGCTGTTCTGATCTTGATACTTAAATAAATATGATTATGTAATTAAATATACTCAGTTCAGGAGATAAACCCGAATACGGAACATAAAATTGTGTAAAGAACCAACTCAAACGTAACCGAATTAAACAAATGTGTGTAAGTGTAGTGTGTAAACTTATTTAACAACTGACCAAACTGACAATGAGCTGTTCTACAGTTCAGAAGCAGTATCTACTAGTTCAAACACAAACAGCAATCACCAATATGCTCGTACACTCATAAATAAGTCAAAGATCTTATATAGACAACAATATCTTTGCAATAAGTACATTCCTTGTATTTAAACTCGTGTCGATTAAGCCCAACTTACCATTATATGACAGGGCACTACAGACTACAAACATTCTGTTTCTGCGGATTATTATAGGATGGAGAATATATACGTATATGTATGTTAAATGCCACCATAAGATGTGTTTTACCATTATTATTGTGAATGTTATAGATGCGTGGTACCGGAGTGCGAGGGCGTGCACCCTCAGTTTGAGAACGAGGCGGCGGCGGCCCTGCTGCCGGCCGGGGGGAGCGGCACCTGCGACCGGTACCAGCCGCTGCTACCCGACCTGTCGTCCTGCGACCGTGACTCCTTCCACCAGAATCAAACCATCACCTGTGACACCTTCGTCTACGAAAACTCCAACACCATCTTTGCTGAGGTACCAAATTGGATGCCATAACATGATCTCTGATATGTACATACAATAAGCTGAGTACCAGGAGTGATGGTAACGTGTACATGTTTCAGTTCGACCTGGCGTGCCGCGAGTGGATGCGCACGATGGTGGGCACCGTGCGCAACGTGGCGCTGCCCTTCGCGCTCGTCCTCACCGGCTACGTGTCGGACACGTCAGTACTCCGCTGCTCCGTCGCCGTGGCCCGCCGACTGCGACCGGCTCAATGCTAAGTTGGCGCTTTCTTTCAGATACGGCCGCCGGACGGCGTTCTGTCTGTTCTCCGCGTTTGCGGGCGTGATGGGCATACTCAAAGCGTTCTCCGTCAACTACCAAATGTACCTGGCCATGGAGTTCTTCGAGGCCGCGCTTGGATACGGTTTCAATAGTGCTGGCTATGTGATGAGTAAGCTTTCGACAACCACTTGACGTCCATTTTATGTAAGAGTGTGTGTGTATCGGCTGTTCTCTCCGCAGTGGTGGAGATAGCGCACCCCTCGCTGCGCGCGGTGTTCGCGTGCGCCACCGGCATCGCGTACGGCGTCGGCGGCGTGCTGTTCGCGTGGGTGGCCTGGGGCGTGCCCTACTGGCGCCATCTGCTCTGGACTATCCACTCGTTGGCACTGCTGCTTCCGCTGTACTGGTTGCTCCTCGACGAGAGCCCGCGCTGGTTGCACGCCAAAGGCAACATCGACAAGACCGCTGCCATCATCAGGAAAGCAGCTCAGTGGAACAAGGTAGTGGTGGACGAGACGCTGATGGACAAGCTGCAGGAGACGAGGCGGAAGGAGGCGCAGGGCGGGGCGGAGCGCGCGTGGCTGAGCGTGGTGCGGTCGCGCGTGCTGCTGGGCCGGTTCGCGCTGTGCTGCTGGTGCTGGGCCGCGACCACGTTCGTGTACTACGGGCTCACCATCAACTCGGTGGCGCTCGCCGGCAACAAGCACGTCAACTTCGCGCTCAACATGTCCATGGAGATCGCGGCCTCCGTGCTCATCATGATGGCACTCGAGCGCATCGGGCGCAAGCTCTGCATATGTTTTGCGTTCCTGCTCTGTGGGGTGGCTTGTGTTTCACCTTTTTTTATTAGTAAGTGATTCTGAGATACTCTTTCTTTTTTATTAGCTAATAGTAAATTAGCTAATAGTAAATAATAAAGTTGTGAAAACCACATATCTTCTTCCTAGTAGGTACTTACCTCGTCTTTTTCAGATTCTGTAGCTAACTGAAGTGCAAAAACCGGATTATAGGTTCATCATGTATCTGTGCGTCCCACTCAGGTCGCGGACAAGTCAGTTGGTATTCGCCTACCAGTAAAAAGGTAAATAATAACGCAATATCTGCGCGCAGGTCACGAGACCACCAATCTGGCGATGTTCTTCATGGGCAAGCTGTCGATCACGTTCGCGTTCAACTCTCTGTACGTGTTCACGGCGGAGCTGTACCCCACGCACACGCGCTCGTCCGCGTTGGCCGCCTGCTCGCTCGTGGGCCGCGCCGGCTCCATACTGGCGCCGCAGACACCCCTGCTGGTCAGTCACAGTCTCACTCCGCGCCGAGCTCTGCCGCGCCGACCCCGGTACTAAGTTTAAGACGTGTTCACAGAGCATGTACCTGCAAGCGACGCTGTACGGCGTCTGCAGCGTGACGGCGGCGCTGGCAGTGCTGTGTGTGCCGGAGACGCGCAGCGCCAGCCTGCCGCAGCGCGTGGCGGACGCGGAGCGCCTGCGCCCCGCGGTGCCCCAGCCGTCTCCTCTGCAAGCACCCATGACCCCGCCGCGCCCGCGCCTCGTGTCCGCCGATACCTGATCCTGAATGATAGATAGTGACCCTACTAGAGAGCACCCCCAGACCCACGCTGCGCGCACTGTAGCTAGAGCTCGCGGTCTGACCGCGCAGCCTGCAGCTACAGCGACAGGGGAACGTGTACTTACTACTATTGTATATCACATGAATTCTGACTCACTGGACCTATGCTGTGCGCGAATGCGTGTGTGATTGGATTATTTGTAGGATGCTGCGGGAAGTGGTTGCTACATATTAACGCACATCTCTGCTTCCACCATTCGGAGATTAAAAGCCATCATCGTATCAGCCACAAAATGTATGTCACACTTATATAAAAAGATAATGATGATATGTAACAAGATACAAAGACGTACAGAGTAGGTACTTGGTGTGAGCGAGTGACCGGGTGACGTGTCTCAGGCGAGCTCACTCGAGTGTGACTGTCATTATAGACAATCATTTGTATGTACATAAGTATATCTATAGTTATATAAGTTTGTATTGGTGTACCATAAAATAAAAGGCGTGATGTAACAAATTTGATTTAATTAAAATTATAAAAGTCTGAATAGCAAAAATATACAAAATATAAAATCCCGATTCCAACAATATGTACCTACTATTTAGTACATAATAATATGTCGCAGCCAACCAGCTTAATTAGACATACATTCAAATTACAGGTGTAGTCCACTCAACAATTAATTCGCAGTATTCTAATAGCTGTTTGTTACTGTGCAACGCGATTTTAAAGATAGAAGAATCCCTTCGCTTGTCAACTGGCGCATGGCGGCCTCAATGAGGAATTGAACTATTCTAACGAATGGCTAGCTAATAAGTCAGTTGGCTGTGACACATACATCACACGAATACGTGGGTACAAGCTGGCACTGTATTTAGATTCCTGACTCCTGCAGTACCTACCGCACACTGCAGTTCTAATTCTATACTTTAGATGCTGTCTACTACAGATTGCGGAACTAGGTTTTCTCGTTTAGCACTCCACAATTGCTTACCTAGTGTATGTAGTGCGTGTGCCAGCATACTGTCCAGCTACGAATAGGATGCCACTAACCCAACAGATACCAGCATGTACCCAATAAGGAACACCAGTAGGTATCGTCACATGCCACTCACCAATAATACAACTATATCACCTGTATACCCACTACATATTGTGCATACAATTATTTATATTTAGCGACTACACAGCCACGACGAGGTATACCTTCCGAGCGGCAGATCCCAGTTAATACAAGGTACACATACAAACTATTTCAGAAATTTTCTTTTACATACATACAGTGTAAATTCCTAGGTATTTTGTTTAGGCTTGGCAATTACGTATGGAACATAAAGTCAGCTAAATGTGCAGTGCTCTAGCAGTGCGATAATGTATCTTTCTATCTGCCTTTCTAACTTTCGAAAGCGTCTCGGATATTCCGTTCTAAATATCCGATGCATACTTCTTAACTGTACTTACATACACTGTACAGAAATCAGTAAATGTATACGAACCCAAGTTTTGCCAAATAATACTATTATATAAAAAAAGCTGAACCCGATCTTAGGCCCATACCACACTGCAGCTAACCGTGGCTGCTTCTCCGAAGAGCTTTAGAAGAATCAATTTGGGTTATAACCGACAGACAGTTATTTTTATCTTGAAATATTTAGTCTTACTTTCTTTGTCCCATTATTTTTGTCTACGCTGGAACGCATCATTTTCGTCGTCCGAGTCGTCTCCTGGCGGCCACTGTCGCCATTCGTCAATTGTAATTGAACGAACGCATATGTTTGTAAGTACCTAATTTAAATTAATTTAGTCATCAAAAGTTATTATATCAACAATCAGAATCGATGTCTTATTTGTATTGTTCAAGTTTATCCAAGCATAGATAAATCATAAAATCGAATACAAAACGTGTGCAATTTGTAACTGTGACCGCTTCGACATTTTCTTTGCCTGCTACGCTGCACTGCTAGGCATCTTACAAGCTAACTGGCAAGACATGGTTGCTAGGCAACCGAAACAACTATTCTGTGGAGTCAGCACAGACGTGACTCAAGCACATACATATAAAATTATAGTCTTTGCTGTAGCTAGCACTAAGTTATTGCTCGATTTATCTACATAATAATATACATGTAAACACGTAGGTGTTGCATGCTACGCGCTGTAGGTAGACACAAGCAAACTGGGTGCAGGTATATGTATAGCTACTGGCCACGACACCACATGACCGCATTCCTAAATAAATAATTCCTTTCACTAAGGAGCTTATTATAAACAAACATGTATTCATGATTATTTTTATAGTATTCATGTGAGGTGGCTCGCCATTCTTCATTGATAGAGAACAAACTGATGGAGTTTACGAGAATAAATAAATGACATGATTGTTTTATTGATTGTTTGTAACAATAACATATTTCATGATTCTGTTATGTTATAGTCACGCTCAGTCTTAAAATATTATGCAGTTTGCAGTGTCCTGCGCGTCTCATACGTGCTGGAGGTGAAGGTGTCACTGTCATCCACTACTATAGTAATACGTCGCGTGTCGGTTCCCCGCTGCCGATCCTCCTCGGGAGATGGCAATAACTATAAGCCATACCATGCAATGGACTCACACACAATTTGCCAAGACATCTTCCCATACCTAATAGCATGGACTACCTATATTTAGAAATTCAATTATAGTCATTACGGTATGTCTTCTCAGTTCATTTCGTTGTTTTGATAAATCGTCAATACTTTCTATAAAATGAGTGGCGTCACCGCCCCCGCCCCGCCTGCTTACCTAGCATCAACTAAATACTTAATAGCCATTAACTTAACGACCTCTCAATTACTTCGTTATTCGAAATAAATAAACATACTCTGTAACGCCTCACACTCATACATTGAAAATACACAAAACGAGTGAAGCATTGTTTAGTTTTGTTTCAATATGTATTCGGCAACCGAACTTTGCTCCGTGTATAATTAGTGCGGCCTTTGTCCTACTTTATGGAGTACTTGTGGCACTACTCAGTCAATTTCGTTTAGTGCTTACCTTACTACCTAAAAACCTTATTATTTATGGCTTCGATTAATAAATAGACATTGAACACAAGCTCCCAACTGGGTAGCGAGCGCCCTGTCGTCGTGTGGCAAATAACTTACATACATAGTATAAGGTACATTTAGAAATACTCGCAGCGACGTCGCGGCGCGCGTCGCCTTCAGTCTTCTTGAGCTGCAGGATAGTTGCGGCGGCGTCACGTGTCGTCCCGGGCCAGCGCGCGCAGCTCGTGCGCGGGCGGCGGGGCGCGCGCGGCCGGCGCCTGCAGGCGGCCCGACACCGCGCGCAGCGCCGCCAGCGCCGCCAGCGTCAGCGCCGCCGTGCTGCCGAACGTGGCCACCGGCCCGTGCCGCGCGTACACCGCCGCCACGAACACGGGGCCCAGCGCGCGCGACAGGCAGCCCGCGCCCGTCAGCACGCCCTGCCACACGCCCTGCACGCCCACAGTTATACCTTCATCATACGCCGACAACCGACAGCCCGCGCCCACATTTACACACCGACTCACCTGGGGTCTGGGGCCCAGCACCTTGGAGAATATGGTCTGGATGAGTGTGACACCCAGCGAGTACCCGACGGAGACGCAGGCGTATCCCGCAAGGAACTGCGGCAGCGTGAGGCCGCGAGACGTGGCGCACCACGGCTGCGTGGCTTGCGGGCAGCCGCCGCCCGCCTCCGTTGCGTTGGCCGGGGCCAGCGGCGGCGGGTCGGGCCCCCACGGGATGCACAGCACCGACGCCAAGCCCGTCAGCAAGAATCCGCCCCACAGAAGCAGCGCTCTAAAACATTATCAGCTTCACTCAGAATTGGAAAACAACAATTGCCAAATTTTGTGCCTGTTAAATATATTATTATGTGTAAGTGAAGTCGTTGGAGTATACGGCGAACAATGAACGACTCGCTCCAACACTGATGCTCCAAGTTAACTCGAAATTCTTCTCGCCAATTTCAGCGGCCATCCTTTAAACTGTAATCTAACCAACTCAAACGGAAACAGTTAGGTGTAAGTACCGCTCTTCAAAGAACCGCGTGAGCGGGCCGATGAGTGCGAAGGTGATGCACGCCAGCACGGCGCCGCCGCTCATGAGAGCGCCCATGTATTCGAGGGCCTGGCGCTTCGTCCACGCGAACTGGTCCATGGTCAGTACTGTAGCCAGAGTCTCCAGCAGCACGAAGTTGAACACCAGCACGAAGAATGCCGCGACCAGCGTCCAGCTGCTCACCAAATCAGGCTTCAGAGCTTTTAAAGCTTCTTTTTCTGAAACCAAATGTTACATTGCTAAACATTATTTCAAGAAGATCCGACAAAATTGGTCAAGAGAATTGTAAGAATTGTAGAGAATTGTACAAATAAGTAGGAACTGAACCTTTTGAAATCGAAATTGCTATGGAAGTCTGCTATATTATGTATGAACAGTGCCGGCGTTAGCGGGGGCGTGATGGGGCGATGGCTCAGGGCCAGGGACAAATTCTGGGGAGCGCCAAGGTCTGAAGTTGGAGTGTCTGGTGCAATCCTTCAGAACCGTGCTCTACGCTCTGACCATATGCATATTTTTTATTGAAATATTTTTTTAGATGGATTTTTGAGGTTTTTTTGTCGAGAAGCGACTCTCTGGGGACCTCTGGGGGACTCGGTGGGGATAACTGAACCTTCTATATAATATTCTTCAATATAACTAACACTTAATATTTATTAATATTTTCGCTCGGGGTGTCAGTGGCCCTTACTCGCACTGTGTATGTATTGTGGCTGTAGTGGTTGTCCCTGCGTTAGGCTAAGTAACATTAAACACTCGATGAAAGTCGTCAGTAAGTATGTACAACACGTCCCTATGTTTATCCGTACATGTCAGCAAGTTAAGTCCCGCCCCACGATGCAGGATATTTGTTTTCTGTTGTATCTATATAACGCAATTTATAAATCTCTTGTGTTAGTCACCGTTACTAAGATCGGTTAGGTTTCCGTGGAGTACTGTTTATGGTGTGCGTGCTCCCAATATTTTTAAACATACTTAAGCATACACACATTTAGGTAGATATGTACAATATTCTAACTCAACAATGCTAAATAAGAAAGGATAAACAAGTACACAGGAATCCACGACGTACCGTTGTCTGTTCCCTGCGCGATCATAGCTTCTCGGGCGGCAATCTTCTTCTCCTTAAAGCACCAGGGTAGGAAGAGTAAGAGGTTAATGAAGCCGAGCGCAGCGTTGATCCACCCGGCGCCGGTGTACATGTCGAGGCGGAGCGGCGAGGAGAAGTCGCCAGGCGGCGCGTACGGCGGCCCGGGGCCCAGCGGAGCCACGGCGGCCTGCAGCGCGGGGCCCACCACGAAGCCCAGCACCTGCGCCAGCGACACCACGGCCACGGCCCGCGTGCGCTCGCCCACCAGCGTCGCCGCCGACAGGTACGACCGCGCCACCGCTATGTTGGCTGGACACATTACAAACATCACGTGTACGCTGCTGAATACATACAAATAAAACGCGTGAAAGATGAACATCGAAATCCGGGGTCAACAAATTTTGCTCGTTCTCGTCTCTATGCCCTTTATATCTCATAAAAATGACACAAACACAGATGCAAAACAAGGTTGTTGTTTGGACTTGTTTACGCATTTTTTTTGTAGGAATCTATAAATAAACTCATTGACAAACCCTTCCACTACATAGAATTTTAACTTGCTGTTTTTGTTGAGCGGTAACTCCTCATTCGATTCTCTTCCACGGTAGAACATAGTTGGTTGGACGAATGCCCAACGTTATAACGACTTATAGACTGGGGAATGTGCCGTTGGTATGTGAAATAAAGTTGGCAACCTGAGCTAACGCCGACGAGGAATCTGGCGAAGACCATCCAGTACTTGGCGTAGGGGCGCGTGAGGTGCAACTCGGCGTACAGCACGCTGGCCAGCACGAACAACGCCAGCGTGGCCAAGAGAGGCGCGCGCGCAGAGCCCGCACGGTTGGCCCACAGCCCCAGCAGTGGGGAGAACACCAGCTGGCCCAGCGGGTGGGCACCCACTGCCAGCCCCAGCACTTCCTTCCGCGCGCCCGGCTCCAACTGCAACGTATTGTTAGACGGTACACGTGGGTCGTGACGAGCCCGGGTCGACACTAGACGTGTTGACCACAACAATAACTTTATCAGTAACATATTACGCTAACTTACGCTTATTTTAGGTTTTATTATCGTTCCTACGTCATTCACATTGGGTGCAACTATACTGCAGTATTCAGAGTCAGTGAAACACCGGCGGGTTCCGCGGCCGCGAACCTCTACTCGCGCGACCTCGTACTTCTCAATAACGATTATTTTTAGCCTTCACACGTCGGTCAGCCGGCGCACAGCATGCGATACACAAACCCGCGGTTCGCAAGCACGCGACCACCGCTCCTACTGCAGCACTTTCTGTTTCATATTCATCATCGGCACGCAGCCAGCACCCGCAGCCCCGCAGTAGCTTACTGATCAGCGTGTGCTCGCGTCTTGATTATGCGTAGGTACTCAGGCTTGTAACAGTTAAGCACAAGTGAAAGTGACTACGAGACATAATAATTGTTTACCGCGCTACCTACTGGCTACTAGAGACCTAACTAACTACTACTAACGAGCCACAGAGTTTGCATCGTTACTGGTTGTTGTCATCGATGTTGATGCTCTTGATCAACATCGATGACAACAACCAGTTTAGGTACATCGATATAAACCAGCCAAGGTAATATTACCTAATTAAAAAACGCACACACAAGTAAGAGAGGGTAAGAGAATCGTATACAATTTTATTGTGAAACTTGCATTCCCGGCAAAAATGCTTTCAGTAAATAGTAAAACATAAACATGTTCAACTAAACTGTAACCGTGTAGAGCACAGGTTGAGCACAATATAACGAGCGAGTCCACTTGTCTTCATTCCGGTGATTATTAAGATTGGTCGCCACGATTGAAATCATTCTGGAGCTCTCTAACTGGCAAAACTTTATTTATTTGGTGATAAACGTCATAGTACGTGTACCTGTGTACTTGTAAGTAGTTGTGTGTTCTGATAAATAGTTTCTGTAAATTATATTATGATTATGACGATGTTAGCGGTGTGGCTGAGATAACAGCAACACTGTTATATTAGGTACTACGCATGCTAGCATCCAAGCGACGAGTTCCGCACTGCAACTGATCACGATTTATCAAATGCAGGTTAGCACGACCAGAACCGTATTGCATGATGGAATTAGTGTAATGGACCTGCGGTAACCTCGCTCTATGGATCCCTCCGATTGAGACTGACCCCGCAACGAAGCTTTCCATTCTTAAAATTGTTTTTCATATAAGGTAAACCATTATGCTAACGCTAACGAGTAAGATGAAAACAACATTGAATTTCAATATTTTCACTTTGCCTACCCTCTTTCGGAAAATAAGGGGGTCATAATAGGTACGGATATCACTTTTCTATGTAAATAAACATTATCTTTCTGATTTGCACTAAACGACGACGAAGATAGTCTGACAGAATACCACAACCAGTTCTTTTATTTAAACTAATTGAAAGCATGATGGTCCATGCTTTCAATTTCGTCTAAATTTAATAAATTCGTTCACCAAATACATGTGCCTATGTGCCTTTCCTGTTATTATTTACTGTGGTGATCTACTTTTACGAAGCGTCATTTACTGGAATCCTCCGCATGACAGTCCTCACCTTGTCCAGGTAGGGCCACACGCCGGTCAGCACTATGCTGAAGCCCAGCGACATCTGGAACATGGTGAAGTAAATGACGTACACGCTGCGCCAGCGCTCGCGCCGCTCCTGGGCTGTCTCCAACAGTGGCGAGCTGGAATGCGGTCCTTCATCTTCCGAGCCAGGCTCCCTCCGCACCCTCCCCGCCAGGCCCTTAAACCACTCCATATCACAACCACACTGCACTACTTATCTCCGAAATAACACAAAAGAAACAACAAAATGCGCACGCAAATGAGCTGGTCGCGCACTAGCCCACACCATCTCAGTTGTAAATAATGGCCGTGTGAGACATGACCTGCCCGTGTCTGACTACCATCCGAAACAAACAAAGCAAGTAAACAAAGAAGCGCAAGGGCACGCGCCGACTTATCGATGTGCTGCGCAAGCGCACCGCCACACCCGCGTCTCTCGCGGCTCCGCGTCCGCGGCTGACTGACCCCCCAACCAACCGAACTGTATGTGATGTCGTTCGTTGGCATCATTTTCCTTCGCGTAATCTCGAGGCCCACCGTGCCGCCGCACGCCGCGCGCCGCGCCCGTCGCCGGGCTGATAGCGATAGCGAACTTGTATTCGTATACTGAACCGAGCTAGCGATCATTAAGTTTAATGAGGCAACAAACGCCGCCACCGGCCACGCTGTTTTGTGACACACTACACACGCACTTCAGCTGAGTCATTGCATATACGTGACACTACGAATATAATACATACAATACTTGCTACAAGTAATATATAAAATGAACGATTCCCAATTTCCCTTGATTATTGCATATTCCAAGATATTGATACTTGCATAGCGTGCGTTCGTGCAGCGGAATGTTGTTGAATTTAAAGATTTTAATTATGCAGATATTTAGTGTATGAGGTCGTATAATTGTGTATGGTAAAAAAAAATTTGTGCACGCAACCATTGTGGAGAAATTCACCAAAAACTGATTCCGCTGGGCGAACGTTGTCCTGGCGGAACTTTTTTTAATCCATAGACTTTAGAAGAAAAGAGATGTATCCAAAAATTAGTGTGTATTTGTGTGTAATTGTGTATGTATGAATAAAACTAGTGCATGCATAAACTTCGGAGAAATTCAAGTTTCCGCTACGCGAACGTTTGGCCATTAGCTAGTTTTCATATAAAGCGCTTACATAGAGAGCTGTAGATTTTTACATACGTTGTTTTGAATTTGTGTATATTTGTTTAAAAAACAGATTTAGAAAAAATCGTAGGGTTTAAAATATAAAAATATAAACGTAAAATACGCTTATTAGGTCTTAGTTCTTAAAGTATGCACTTTGGGGTCTAGATTTTCACGTTGATACAAACCTTGTAAGTGTCTGCAACATGTTGCCAAGTATCAATGATGTTCCGTTAGTAATTAAATAGTTATAGGACAAATTTACCATGAATAGATCACTGTTTACAAAGCAGTCAAATATCACGACTTTCTAAATGAATTGCATGGTAAAATGTATGCCAATAATTAGTGTATTCATTCAACTATTCACATGCAAAATTTCATGTCATTAAATTCAGTAATTAAAGAAAAACAATTATAATACTGACGAAGCATCGAAAACCTACATAACCCGACCAAGTTCGGATGGCTACAAAAAAGCGGCTGTGCAATATATCTAAGAAACGTTCTTAACTTTCCAATATAGCATTTATTAATATGGTACAGTATCGTACACAAGCGTTAGGAAAACATAAAACACAGTATCGAACACACGCTCGTGCATGCCTATTTTAGTCTATCGGTTAAATAGTGTAATGAAAAATATTGGTTAAATAGTGTAATAAGCTACAATATGATAAATATTTACCTAAACAGTAGTACATACTTACATGTGGTAAATATTTAATTTCCTTAAGGGGTCTATAGTTAGAATCCTGATCCGTGAAATCTTCAATAGAAATTAGCTGTATGAATTTTATTTGTCTTAAATATAATTGGATTATATCTCAAGTCTCAAGCGCATACTTAAATAAAGTACCTACGTAAATAGTACCTACTTTCTGTGATAGTCAAATACATTTAAAAAAGTAGGTGTCCAAAAAGAAATGACCTATAAATTATTTCGAAATAACAAGTGTGTTATCACCTGTACCAATTCAATACCGGTATTATACTGTAAATTTTGGGATGTTACCTAAATATATTGCACAGCCGCTTTTTTGTAGCCATCCGAACTTGGTCGGGTTATGTAGGTTTTCGATGCTTCGTCAGTATTATAATTGTTTTTCTTTAATTACTGAATTTAATGACATGAAATTTTGCATGTGAATAGTTGAATGAATACACTAATTATTGGCATACATTTTACCATGCAATTCATTTAGAAAGTCGTGATATTTGACTGCTTTGTAAACAGTGATCTATTCATGGTAAATTTGTCCTATAACTATTTAATTACTAACGGAACATCATTGATACTTGGCAACATGTTGCAGACACTTACAAGGTTTGTATCAACGTGAAAATCTAGACCCCAAAGTGCATACTTTAAGAACTAAGACCTAATAAGCGTATTTTACGTTTATATTTTTATCTTTTAAACCCTACGATTTTTTCTAAATCTGTTTTTTAAACAAATATACACAAATTTAAAACAACGTATGTAAAAATCTACAGCTCTCTATGTAAGCGCTTTATATGAAAACTAGCTAATGGCCAAACGTTCGCGTAGCGGAAACTTGAATTTCTCCGAAGTTTATGCATGCACTAGTTTTATTCATACATACACAATTACACACAAATACACACTAATTTTTGGATACATCTCTTTTCTTCTAAAGTCTATGGATTAAAAAAAGTTCCGCCAGGACAACGTTCGCCCAGCGGAATCAGTTTTTGGTGAATTTCTCCACAATGGTTGCGTGCACAAATTTTTTTTTACCATACACAATTATACGACGTCATACACTAAATATCTGCATAATTAAAATCTTTAAATTCAACAACATTCCGCTGCACGAACGCACGCACTTGCATACGGATAAACAGGCATATTACTAGCAAACTCAAAAGAACGACTCCCGGAAAGCATGTAACAACACGGGAGCAACATAGCTGTTTGGGGGTGGAGAGGCACACCACGGCTATCAGAGATCCTGGAAGTATGGTCAATATCCCTACCAGCAACTTACTGCGCTACATCCGTCCCCCTGGTATTCTTCAACTCGTACTCTTGCGAATCTCCACTCAAACCAGCCAACTAAGGCAAGAACGAGGTAGAAGGTCTAGTTCCTCATCAGTAATCACTCCAGCTAGTCATGAAAACCAACCGGAGATGAAGAACAAGACACCTACCGGGAGTCAGGTCCACTACCAAACTCTTCTTTGATTTTTTATTCTGTTGTTTTATCCGTTATTTTGGTGGTTTGTGTACGCAGATAAATTACTATAACCTACAACCATTCTAATCGTTTTTGTCCAAGGGATCCAGAGATATTACTTTTTATCATTTATTAATATATCACATTTTGGTTTTTCATCTTTTTCTTGTTCTAATATCTGTTATTAAACCTGAATAGGGACTAGATCTATCGTAAATAAGTTTGTTGTTTTAACATATGGAGATGTAAGTACCTAGGTACATTTCGAGAATCTTAAGAAAAAACAATTCTTCACTACTCAACAAATGTTTGCCAATAGGTATCTTATTAGCAAATTGAAGAGGGACTTCTGTAAAAAAATAACTACCTTCACACTCAAAGCCCATAATTTTATTTTATTTTTTGTGAGGGGAAAATCATCAAATGACTTCTCCCGCCCAGGGCCGGGCAGGAGGGAGTGTCAGACTCTTACTGACTAAAAACGCCCCTGTTCCTTCTCCTGCTCTGTGCCGAGGTCGCGGTGCCTCATTGCGCTTACCCCGCAACCCCGGCTGAACATCAGCCCTTTAGGGCCCCATCTGTGGTGGTCTAATGGCTCTATGAGGCGCGCGCGGAACGCTACGCGCCGTACGCTCGGGCCTGGTTCTGGTCGGGCGGCGAGCTGCCCTTACTCGCCGACCGCAGGCCCGTGCTTACGGTGGCCGGAGATCGTCCCTTGATCCCCGACGCCCGTAGTGTCGCCAGTTGCGGCTGCTGGGGCGTGAGGAGGAGGATTGCTCCCTCACGCGGGCCGCCTCTCTCTTTGCGAGCATGACTGCTTCACAAAAGGAGGAGACGGCGTCCCAGTTCCTCTCACTCCGCACCATGGCCTCGACTAAGGCCGGGCGCGAGAGGTCGCCGCCGCCGATCACTTTCCTGAGGATACGGCGGTGCTCAGCCCAGGCAGGGCATACCGCTACCGTATGCTCCACCGTATCCTCTAGGTGGTCCTCACAATGACGACACTCGGGCGTTTCCTCCCGCTGGATCCGAAACAGGAACCTACCGAAGCTGCCGTGCCCGGTAAGCACCTGCGTCAGACGGAAGGTGAGGACGCCGTGGCGTCTTTCAAGCCACTCCTCAAAGAGGGGTCTTACCGCTGCTATAGTAGCGTGCCCGAAAGCCCATAAATACCGATTCCAAAAGCTATCATAATAGCAGTATTCAATTATAATCTAAAATCTGTTTTATTGTGTTACTAGGTACCAAAGTATCTAGTTACTTCCCATTTTAGTAAAATGTATAGGTATAGGCATATAACAATGCCAATAACATATTTCATTGTCCCTATTGTTGCAAAATGATACAAGCACCTAGATATTGGAACACCTAACCTATTTGGCCAAAGAAAATAAAACAATTTATATTAGTCATCAATTTTTTTTTTATTCAGCATATAAACATATAAAAAAAAATTACATTTTTAAATATTTCTTAAAAATAAATAATAAAAAACATTTAAAAATATAAAAAATAGTGTCCCACCGGTATCGGGAGCTGGGTCCTCCTGACAATACGAGCCGTGTCCAGGAGTACCACTTTCTGAATCAAGCCCTTGATCCAGCCACCTAACGAGAGCCTCCTAAGATGTTGGTCGAGGCTCTTGGCTATTAAGCCATTGGCTGACACGACTATCGGTACAATGATAGCTGAATCCACTTCCCACATGTCGACAACCTCGCGTGCCAAGTCGATATACTTGATCAGTTTATCTTTCTCGGCTTTCACAAGGTTCTCGTCATGTGGGACGGCTATGTCAACAATCATTGCACGCCTCTCCTTCCGGTCCACCACCACAATGTCAGGCTTATTGGCCACAATAGTCCTGTCAGTGATGATAGACCGGTCCCAATACAAGGTGATATGACCATTATCAAGGACTGGGTCGGGCTCATACCTGTAGTACGGCACTTCCGATTCCACAAGAGAGTATTTCAGAGCAAGCTGCTGATGTATGATCCTGGCTACAAGGTTGTGCCTATGCAAGTACTCGCCGTTAGCTAGACGAGAACAACCAGAGATTATGTGACGAATTGATTCTCCCGGACGGTGACATGCCCGACAGATGTCAACCGTGCCGTCCTTCACAATAAATCTCCGGTAGTTATTCGTCATGATAACTTCGTCCATAATTGCACAGACAAACCCTTCGGTTTCCCCAAAGAGGTCACCAAAACGCAGCCAGGCTACGGACGCCACCTGGTCTACATCCGGTCCATGTAGGGCTCGGAAAAAGCGTCCGTGAAGCTCCTTGCTCTGCCATACTTCCCTGCGAGCGTTAGTGTCAAGTACGACGGGTTTGCGCCAGTTCTCGATAGCCAGGGAGAGCGGGGTGAGACCTTTGTCCACTGCCACTACATCTCGATGCATATCCACGTCGGCAGCTAGGAAATATTCCCTGAGACTACATACCTCGCGGTTGTGTAGGGTCTTGGCATTTAAAAAGCCTCGACCGCCACACTTCCGCGGGATATACAGTCTCATCACCGACGACCGCGGATGATGCATTCGGTATGCAGTCAGCATTGTTCGGACTTGCCTATCCAGGGCGTCCAGTTCAGTTTGAGACCATTTGAGTACGCCGAAAGAGTACATCAATACCGGCATGACCCAACCGTTGAAGGCGCGCACTTTGTTTCCACCTGAAAGAAAGCTATTAAATACTTTCTTCAGGCGACCAAAGAAACGCTCCTTCAGCGATTGCTTCATGTCAGTGACATTGATGCCTAAAGCTTCCGACATACCCAAATACTTATAGGTTTCTGTTGGAGAGAGGGACCTTAGGTTTATGGAATCCGTGAGTTGAGTTCCCACAGATTCCACAACCTCCCCTCGTTTTACATGCATGATCGCACATTTGTCCACACCAAACTCCATCCTGATGGCACTACTGAAGGTTTCAGTTAGCTTGAGTAGCTCCATCAGTTGCAGTTTGTTGGGGGCAAAAAGCTTCAAGTCATCCATGTAAAGGAGGTGAGATATAACCTGACCACCTCTCTTCAACCGGTAGCCTAGGCCTGAATTCTCTAGGAGTGTGCTTAGGGGATTCAAGGCTAGGCAGAACCAAAGCGGACTCAAACTATCACCCTGGAATATACCACGCTCGATCCTTACAGGTTCGCTGTTCCTTTGGGTATGTCGACATCCCGGATAGCGAAGGACCGTACTCCATTGTCTCATACAGGACATCAGGAAGGTGCGTAGTATTGTATCAATTTTATACAATTCCAACACCCTCATGAGCCATGTATGAGGGATAGAGTCATAGGCCTTCTTATAGTCTATCCAACATGTCGACAGATCCTTACGGGCACGTCGAACCTGTTGGCTGATGGTCATATCAATGAGGAGTAGCTCCTTAGTACCGCGGGATCCGTTCTTACATCCATTCTGAGTAGTTGACATGATTTTATTTTTGTCAATATGACTATTAATTTTACTTCTCAGTATGGATGTAAGAACTTTATAGACCGTCGGCAGACACGTGATCGGTCTATAATTTTTATTAAAATCTTTAATATTGCTAAACGGTACTAAAACAACACAAAATGTTCAAAATGGCATTTGCTGCGATACACGCTCTGCAACATCGAATGAATGATCGTTTAGTTAGGTAATAGGTATCCTTCTCGGCTCTCGCATACCCATTGTCTGTACTGTCTGTTAATAGTAGAAACTAATGTTCTTTTAAACTTTTTCTTTCGGGCCCACCCAATAAAAGAAGCCCAGGAAATACCATGTAAAAAGATATTCATAGGAATAAATAGTCTCCTACAAATAGACGCCTCGTTGTTACTGTAACTGGGTAGTTTCCTAGGTAAAAAATAAATTAATTCGACGTTTCAATACAATTAAATATTGAAAAATAAGTATACTTTTATTCATCAATCGATCGATCACTAAGGTTTAGATTTTTTAGCTAATTATTAAGAAATAAGTAAGCTATTTGACGCAAAAATGTTATGACGTCATAACTCAATTTTAGGTAGATTAATATCGTTTTTGACATTTGGATAAAAGTATTGAATTTGACTAGTTGGAAATACTTGGAAACTACCGCAATCGTAATAACCTAAAGCAGCCTTGGGCTGGAGTAAGAGAAGGAGGGGCTTAGTTAAAGTCACTAAGAGTCCTTTGTTATTGTGTTTTGTAATCTGTGTAAGAGTCTGACAATCTTCGCTCTTTCCAGGGCAAAATAAACTTCTCTGTCAAAAAGACCCACATGACTTTTGAGGCAATAACAGGTGGCATTTACTAGAGGGCGGTTAATTGTTTAATTACTTATTTTATTTTAATATACACATGTAGCTACATCAAGCGAGAGGCGAGAGGAAGTGTCAGAGTTACTGACTAAAAATCCGAAAAACGAACGGGGTCCTACTGCTCTAGGCCGAGGCCGTGATTAATAAAAAGATGATAACACTATACTTTTTCAAACAAATAAATAATTCTAATAAATAGGTACTATTTATTTTTTCTAAATCTCGGTTCCCGTTGGTACTTCGTATTTTAACATTAATTTGGTATTGCCAGCGTAGAAACGCCAATAATTACGAATCCTTATTTAAAGGTTATTATAACATTAAACATTACTTCTCGATTTATTATAACCGTACAATAACCCATTGAGTAAGGAAATACTTAAAAACATGTATTTTGTAAACAAATAACAACCCAGAGATTTCAATTTTATAATGAATTGGTAGGTTTCATTATTTTTCTTTCTGCTCTGCTTTCGTTATAGTCTGTACTTCTGTAGAAGTGTAGAAATTATTACGATCGCGATTCCGACAGATTTTCTTCAGATTCGGATTTCCGACAAATTGTTCGATTTGACCGTATCTGTCTTATTTCCATTAACGTGAAAGTTAATTCTAAATAATCATGAATGCCTCACGAACGATTGTATCCAGGCTATTTCAACAATCTGGTGAGTGCTCTTTTAACGAAATAGATAACATTAATTTACGGATCTATACTCATATCAAAACTAAAATAATTTAACATCACACAACCGATTGTCTCTTGCTTCGATTAACATTTAGTTTTGCGGTTGTAACTATAACATTAAAATGGTTGTTGTCAAAGAAGCTTCATTTATCCCATAAAACGTTACATAACTGCGAACTTAACCTAAGTCATGTCACAGTAGAGCAGTGTTTTCCTCGAGTAAGTGTTAACATACTCGAAGACTAACACTATGTATATTCACTTTAGATATCAAAATTGTATTATCAAGACAATTGATTGAATTTATTAATGTTCTAAATTAAAATGTCTACATTAATTCACTTTCTGCTAGACATATTTATCCTATCAGCAAGGTGAGAGATAAGTGTCGTCCAGAATATGTAGTATCTGTACTTAATATATATACATATTTTATAATAGCCTTTTAAACTTTTAAAAGGTTACATAAATGGTTAGATCTCCTTTCAACAAAACTTATCTATTTAGATCTGCTTTCAACTAAACTTATCTATTTATATTTCATTTAGGGCTGATCTTTCAATAGTCAGGTAAATGTTGTCTCAGAAATAAAATTGTTGCTGTCACTGTCCTATACAAACATTCTGATGTGACATAATTATTCCCCACATAACTTTTATGTAACCATTGAAAAATCAGCCCTTAAACTTTGTAAGTTAAACATTTTAAATTGACATGATAGTTGTTAGTGAAAAAATTTAATCAATAAAAAGTATTGATGTGCTTCAGCATAAATAGGCTGACTCAACCTGAATAATACCACAGTTAGTAGTTACACACCAGTGTGAAAGCACAGCGGCCCAGCATGAAACAACACTTATATTGTTTTGCTGTGTGAGTTGTTAAGCTTGAAGTTACCAGAGGCCCCGCACCTTTCCCCATCCCAGAAATCTTAATTTCCTAACTTCCAATAATAATTATCAAATCCTATGTGTGGTAGCCCAAGACCAACAAAAAACTTTCAAAACGTGTGGTATACCATCAGGTGATGTTTGCTCATCCATAAAAAGGTACAAAAAGACAAAAAAATCACACAGTGTACTTTGTATAACACACAAATAATTGCCCGGTGCATCAATGAACCTGCAATACATTGCGCAGCAACTTGGTATGCAAGGAGACTGCACTACCCCAAACATGTAGTTGTGCTATTAGATAACTATGGGTGCCTGAGCCTAATACATGGTGCACAATCTATTTATAGGTTTAGGTGGAAAACTAAAGATAAACAAACTTGGTATGTCTTTTCATATTAAAGAGGTTGTATAAAATACATAGTAGCTTATTAGGTCACATTGATTTAGGTGAATACCTGATTATAAACATTTTCACATACCATTATAAGACAACTTTTAGATAAAAGACATTTCAAGATTGTTTTAGATTTAGTAAATTACCTAAACATATAAACCATAGTATTATGTAAAATAAATGGTCTTTCTTTCTTCTATTATTTTTACACAAGTTGTGATTTCTGATGAGAGTATGGTTGTGGTTTGCAGTGAGGCGCTACCACAATGAGCACTTCAAGCCGCCCACCATGGACGAGCTGCCGGTACCTCGGGGCTCCTGGCAGGCCCAGTATGACGCTAACCAGCGCCGCTACAACCTCGTTCTTTTGTTTGGAATCGCCTTCACTGCTGGAACATTGGCTGTTGTAAGTCCAGCATTACATTATTCTTAAGCAACACACATTCATTAATAAAATAATATTTACTGTTGCCATTTGGTTCAAATAAACACTTATACTGAGATTTGTATGCTATGTACTACTTATCTACTTCATGTACTGAGGCATTGTGTACTTTATAAGACTAAGGATGGAATAACAAACTTACTTGAATGAGTATTTACCTTAAGATTGTCTTTGGTGTGATGTTTTGACATTTAGTGCATCATGTTTTACCACAATTCAGATTGCAAGATGAATCTCTGGTATGTAAATTGAAATCAGTCATTGTTTTGTTCCAGGCTAAGGCTTCTGGACTGGTGTACCTGAACTACTCTCCCCCAAAGTCTCTGGATTAGATTTTGCTGTGATTACATTATAATTCAAATTTTGTAAAAGAAATGTCAGGAGTGAGGAAAACGACTTTGTGACAGTTACATTTACAAAAATTGAATAAAAATCAATTAATAGTCGCCTTAGTATTCTAATCAATATATTTTTTGTTTTAGTTGACATTTTCATTTCCGTTATATTCCAACTCTAGCTTTGCGATGACGCAACGCAACTATATCACCTTGCTCTTTCACGCCGTATGATCTGTTCCCTGATGGAGTAGAGTAGACAACACTAGGGATCATTCCAGTCTGTGCTCCTACGGATTTTTATTATTTAAGCCATAAGTAATTGGTTCAATTAAAACGTAAGGTTTTCACTGACCTTATTTAACACTCCAGTTGTTGATAAAATCCGGGCACGCTACTATAGCAGCGGTAAGACCCCTCTTTGAGGAGTGGCTTGAGAGACGCCATGGCGTCCTCACCTTCCGTCTGACGCAGGTGCTTACCGGGCACGGCAGCTTCAGTAGGTTCCTGTTTCGGATCCAGCGGGAGGAAACGCCCGAGTGTCGTCATTGTGAGGACCACCTAGAGGATACGGTGGAGCATACGGTAGCGGTATGCCCTGCCTGGGCTGAGCACCGCCGTATTCTCAGGGAAGTGATCGGCGGCCGCGACCTCTCGCGCCCGGCCTTAGTCGAGGCCATGATGCGGAGTGAGAGGAACTGGGACGCCGTCTCCTAATTTTGTGAAGCAGTCATGCTCGCAAAGAGGGAGGCGGCCCGCGTGAGGGAGCAATCCTCCTCCTCACGCCCCAGCAGCCGCAACTGGCGACACTACGGGCGTCGGGGATCAAGGGACGATCTCCGGCCACCGTAAGCACGGGCCTGCGGTCGGCGAGTAAGGGCAGCTCGCCGCCCGACCAGAACCAGGCCCGAGCGTACGGCGCGTAGCGTTCCGCGCGCGCCTCAAAGAGCCATTAGACCACCACAGATGGGGCCATAAGAGGCTGATGTTCAGCCGGGGTTGCGGGGTAAGCGCAATGAGGCACCGCGACCTCGGCACAGAGCAGGAGAAGGAACAGGAGGGTTTTTAGTCAGTAAGAGTCTAACACTCCCTCCCGCCCGGCCCTGGGCGGGAGAAGTCATTTGATGATTTTCCCCTCACAAAAAAAAAAGTTGTTGATAAAATGTTGGTTTTATGTTCAGTATGTCCGCGAGATCGATCTATTCGTTTTTGTTTTTACAAGATGGGTTCTTTGAATAGACATAATCTACTGACAAAGCTGCTTATAATATGGCATGACTATATAGTCGCGTGCGTTCGTGCAGCGGAATGTTGTTGAATTTAAAGATTTTAATTATGCAGATATTTAGTGTATGACGTCGTATAATTGTGTATGGTAAAAAAAAATTTGTGCACGCAACCATTGTGGAGAAATTCACCAAAAACTGATTCCGCTGGGCGAACGTTGTCCGGGCGGAACTTTTTTTAATCCATAGACTTTAGAAGAAAAGAGATGTATCCAAAAATTAGTGTGTATTTGTGTGTAATTGTGTATGTATGAATAAAACTAGTGCATGCATAAACTTCGGAGAAATTCAAGTTTCCGCTACGCGAACGTTTGGCCATTACCTAGTTTTCATATAAAGCGCTTACATAGAGAGCTGTAGATTTTTACATGCGTTGTTTTGAATTTGTGTATATTTGTTTAAAAAACAGATTTAGAAAAAATCGTAGGGTTTAAAAGATAAAAATATAAACGTAAAATACCCTTATTAGGTCTTAGTTCTTAAAGTATGCACTTTGGGGTCTAGATTTTCACGTTTATACAAACCTTGTAAGTGTCTGCAACATGTTGCCAAGTATCAAGGATGTTCCGTTAGTAATTAAATAGTTATAGGACAAATTTACCATGAATAGATCACTGTTTACAAAGCAGTCAAATATCACGACTGCCTTGTAAACTTTGTACTTTGTGTGAATTGCATGGTAAAATGTATGCCAATAATTAGTGTATTCATTCAACTATTCACATGCAAAATTTCATGTCATTAAATTCAGTAATTAAAGAAAAACAATTATAATACTGACGAAGCACCGAAAACCTACATAACCCGACCAAGTTCGGATGGCTACAAAAAAGCGGCTTTGCAATATATCTAAGAAACGTTCTTAACTTTCCAATATAGCATTTATTAATATGGTACAGTATCGTACACAAGCGTTAGGAAAAAATAAAACACAGTATCGTACACACGCTCGTGCATGCCTAGTCTATTGGTCAAGTCGAGAGGAATTTTCAAAACAAAAGGCGTAGTCACACGTTACATTTACTTAACCTGCACTTTGATAACGTGTGACTACGCCTTTCAGTATTCTGAAAATCTTGTTTTATACTTTTTCAGAGTCGGTTTTGTCATAGTTGGGTTTTAGTTTTTATACTTTTTTATTATTTGTACTATTTTGGTGTTAAAGTGTATTTGTGGCGTATAATATCAACTAGTAAACATAAATTGACAAGTACAAGTAAAGCGCTTTAAAATGATACCAAACACGGTATTATTATTTTAAGTGTATTTTTTTACTCTGATTGTTTTGTCCGCTAGAGAACGCCACGTTCGATTTTGTGATACCTACTTACCCCATATAGTTTATAACCAGCGGACAATTAAGATGTTTCTTATTAAATCATATGTCGAATTCTGTTAAGTAGTTTAGAAGTAACGAGGGAACAGATGAACTAACATACATACATCCCCTCATCCCCATCCCTCCTTTTGCGTTGCCGTAGTCGGGTAAAAAGCGGTAGGTATACAGAAACATGACATAAACAATTTTAGCATTACTTTAATACTTGTATATTTTCATAATCTTAAAATAGAAGGTCTAATTATTGTTTGTTTGTATAAAATTATTTATTATACAAATAAACAAGAATTAGACCTTCTAACTCATCTCAATAATAATTTAATATTACTTAAATACAGGGTGTAAGGGACAGTCTTCCGCAAACTGATATGGTGAATTCAGTATATCGTCTTAAGTTGACCGGTAGGTACATGAAATTATTTCAGGAACGTTATGGAAAACTGATTCATTTCATTACCTTACGCGCAATGTATTGCTACCACCACCAAACACGCAGCGTACGGCAGCGCCGCGACCTGACCTTTCAGACGAGTGGCCGCGATCGCGCCACGTTTTATAACAATAAATTATTTAAAAGATAGCCGCATTACGTACAAAAGAAAATGTAACAATAATAACATGGTAACTGATAAAAAAAAGAAAAATGCCTACCTTAAACGCGAAGTAAGCGGGGCAACAAGGTGGACTCTTCGTTGCAGCTGTGGCACAGCTGCTGGAAAGTATTTGTGATGCGGTCTCGCACTTCGTACTCACTTGCACACACACTCACAAACACTTTCTTTTACGTAACCCCACAAAAAGAAGTCCAAATTGGTTAGGTCTGGCGATCGTGCTGACCACGGTTGCTGTCCAAACCTACCTAAAATACGTTTAAATAGGAACGCACTGGTAGCGTTACGTTGCGCGTACGTGTAGCGTTTTAGAATAATAAAAGTGCAATGTGATAGAAAGCTGTGCTTCCATTCGGGGAGCTTGTGTTCAATTTTTGTTTCGACTATCAATCAGTGGCTATTGTGAAGCCATGTAAAAACCTGTAAGTGGTTTAAAAACTAGCCAGTAATCGCTTGAAAAGAACAACCAATTAATAAATTAGGTAGTTTTTGTAAATGCTTTAAAATTAAAACTAATACGTCTAATCTTTATGAATGAGAATGTAATAATACACTGAAATAGAGCTATAGGAACTAAAAAAAAAACCAAAAAATAATAATGGAAAATTCCTGAGAGAATTTTCACTGGAATATGATTCAGAATAAGGAGCTAAATGCACCCTGTTCATTTGTGGAGGGCTGTCCCTTACACCCTGTATAATTATGTATAAACAATAATAATTCTACATTAATAATTAAAAATTTCCCCAAGCAGCTCAACGTATGTTGCCCCCGTGTCGCTACATGCTAGCGACCGTTTCCGGGGGCCCATTAATAGTTTGCCAGTCACCCCCTGCCTGTTTATTCGTATTTATAAATATTGGTCAGGGGCAGGGGCCCTAGTATTTCCATAGTAATCATATCCACCAGTCCATAGTAACCCATACCTATAACCCTATCAATTTTTACCACATTTCACAATAGTCCTGCACCAACCAGGGATTGTCCTTGGGTGCAATTTTATAGTGCATACAGGGATAATTGCCGGCTGATGTCCCATCACATGTAGATTAAAACTGTTCAATCAACGGGCCTCTGCGAGTTGGCTTCGGCTCCTCGTACGCCTTCCAAAGGTCCGGGACCCTGTGGTCCCGTGAAAGGAAAGAACAAACAAAATAGATAATAATTTAATACCTATTACTTAAATTTATTAATTTAATACAAATAACTTCATAGATATTGTTAGAATGTTCTCACACGCCACTGTCGCAAAAATAAGACATGTGAGTAGCGCGCACTAGTGATGTAGCGCATGTGAGATAGGTATTTTTTTTTTTTTTAAACTTTGCCGCACACTAGGATTTTCAACTGTGTCGTAGGTGCGATTACAAAAATACAATTTCACATACACAAGCCAGCCAAACCCGGAACAACAATTTGTGGATCACACAAAGAGTTATTCAGTGTGAGAATCGCACCCGCGACACGTTAACCGGCAGCCAGTTTCCAAGCCATTGGACCAACCGTGCAGTCAAAAACATCAACTGACTTCTCCCGCTCAGGGTCGGGCGGGAGGGAGTGTCAGGCTCTAACTGACTAAAAACCCGCTCGTTCCTTCTCCTACTCTGGGCCGAGGTCGCGGTGCCTCATTACACTTATCCCGCAACCCCGGCTGACTTACATCAAAGAACGTTTTGCAATTCTCCTGCTCCTGGAATTTATTATTTTAAATATAATTTTGGTACGAGGATAAAACATCATTCATTTGATAGAATTATTCTTAAAAACATTTATATACCTTATACATAATTAAACATAGTCGATTGGATATTCGTTAACCAGGAATACCTTAGAATTAAATAGGGTATAACGATACTAATAAACTTAGTTGTATTTTTTATAATAACTATCGTGAGACATACTAAATTAACTAAAAATCGCGGGTTACTCACGTGTGTATATTGAGAATACTAGTCTGTGTTACATATGACGCTGACTGTGTCACACTCCAGACTGGATACGCTTCGGACCGACGTAGTCTCCAAGCTCGACTTCCACGCGGGTGGCAATGCCCAGCCACCATCCCTGTTGAAGCACGGACGTCGGCTAATCTCGATGGCCTCTCGCACTTTTCGCGGAACGAAGTATTTCTCCCTCGCTAGTACGGAGACCTTATCAAAACGTATGAAGTGAGCCGCATCCGTGCCGCAAACATGTTCAGCCACAGCCGATGCCTGGATGTCCATCTTCTTCACGCTACGTATATGTTCCTTTAGCCTGGTTGTGATGTTGCGCCGAGTTTCTCCGATGTAACTTGAGCCACAGTCGCAAGGTATAATGTACACACCGGGCACAGCTAGTGGATCCTTATCCTTTGGCGAGCGTAGCAGTTGTCTCAGCTGACCGGGTGGGCGGAAGATCGTCCTGATGCTATATTTACGTTGCAGCAGGTGTCCGATTCTGTCGGTTACTCCTTTAGTTGTATCCATTGTTCTCCAGTACCCTAAAAAGGGTACCCTAAAAAGGGTACTGGAGAACAATGGATACAACTGGCATCAATGTACCCGACTAGCGAGCAGCTCCAGTAGGAAGCGAATGGTGAAATTCGTCGTCAATGTACTGTGGATCGCATAGACTCAGCGCCCGGTTTATCAAAGTCCGCGGGACAGCGGCTAGGTGGGAGGCATGATGATGTGAGTCAGCTCGTAAGTATCGGTCTGTGTGTGTCGGTTTTCGATACACTGTGTGTGACAATCGACCACTTTCTTCTCGTCTTACTAGGACATCCAAAAACGGCAACATCCCTTCTCTCTCTTCTTCAGTGGTGAATTGTATACTGCCGTGCACAAAGTATAAGTAAGGGGCAACATGATAAATTGACAAACCTCATACAAACTTGCAAGTACCCGAAATACACACAAAAATTTTCAAACAAAGGAAATGGGTCTAACACTGTGGTCAATTTATCATCGAAACAATTGTCAACTGATGCCGTCAATGTACTCTCCCGAGGCCTAAATTACGCACCGGTACCTCGGAAATTACCTGTGGAGGATATCATCACGAATATCGAAAATACAATTTTTCGGAATATGATACCCCGCAGCGACCAAAGTTAGATAAACAACAAACATTATTTTTCGAAAATTGTATTGATGTGCAACGCCCATAACGATAAAATCCGAACTAAGGGACGGGACATATGCCAAAAGGACATGGCCAACTTTTGTATGGGCGTTTGCATAGTTATTGAATTCAATGTACATCAATGATTTTTGGTGTTTACATTCGTGAATATTATTAATTTAAATTGCAAAAAATAAAACACATGAAGAACTCGTAATTATAGCAAACAAGACGAAAATAGTTTCACTAAACCTTTAGTCAGATTACTGGCCATAAGTGCACGAAATAAGATTTTCTTTTAAAAACCATGGCGTTTTAATTATTTATTTATTAATTTATAAAATAAAACAAAACAATATGTATAAAGAATAATGATTTATTTATTAAGGAGAATAAATAAAATAAAACTACGTAATAATTCACTTTTATATTTTTATTATAAAGTGTATTTTATTATGTTTGTGTATGGAATGTACGTTTCTTTAATATATATTCTGTAATAATATAGTATATATGGTAGTACTTTCCATTTGAATCGGCCTGCTTAAAACAGGTGGTAATGGTGGTGGCTCTGGTGGGCTAACCACTTGAATATAAGGGGCTACTGCATTGTTGTCCGAACCCACTTCCTGCAAGTTTCGTAATAAGTCCTGCACTGTCTGTCTATTTGCCTGCATACAGCACACATGACAAACATAGTTGCTTCTTGAGGTCTGAAAATAAACCCCAGTTAGAATAAACACATGTTTTCAAGTTTTATGTTATTGTACAGTGAGAAGTATTATGTTACAACATGCCTATTTTAAAGAAGTCTATGCAAACATGGAAAATACATAAAGATAGATATTATAATCACACATACCTACTATGAGTACTTTTTTTATAGATTAATATAGATAAATACAAGTACATATATAAAACAATGAATAAAAAACAAAATGCTTACCACATTAATAGTATTTTGCGATATTAGGCCAGCTAGCAATGGAGAGTCCATACTGACATTATGGTGTCTTATTTTTCGAACCGATTTTCCACAACCAAGGCAAACCATGTTATGTCCCAGTAGTCTCTCATGTTCACCAGCCTCAGTATTCAATAATAAGAAGCGTGGTTGAAAAATGAATGTCCCCAGAGGCAACTAAAAAAACATGCACTATTTAAAATCGCATGCCATGATAAAACATAAAAAAACAGACTAAGTATTATATATTCCGAATTCATACCTGGGTTTGAGCTGGTTAACCAACGTGAAAGTTTTGTTTGATGGTGTGCAGAAAGGCGAGGATATAAGACGCCTCTGCAGCCTTTGTACGCCTATTCCGCAGTTGATGATGAGGATTCCGCACAAAACAAATCCAAAACGCAAAACAGTTACTCCAGTATTATAAGCAAGGTTAACAAAAACACGCTGTCAAAAGTGTCAAACACGTTCCGCTTCGTAAGTTTTTTTTTGGTAAATTGGATAAAAATTAAAACATAATATTATTATAATATGAGTATATTATAATGCAACTAAAACCAATGAATACAGTTTCGTATGAATAAAATGTTCCTAGTGTAATGCATTTGTCGATCATATCACACGTTTTCTACGAGTGTAGTTTAAGACACGTGGTTTGGAATTAGAACGTCTTTTTATTTATCTTTCTCTATGGACTATTATGGCGAAACTTGACAAACGAAGTTGATTTTGTTGCATTACTTTTACATTTTTTTAATAATAATTGTCAGGTCTGGAGAGGCTAAAAACTACGTAATAATTCATATTTCTATTTGTATTTTACAGTGTATTAATTTTGTTCGTGTACGTGGAATGTACTTTTTTGGCCATGTCCTTTACCGATACAAAAATAAACATAAATTAAAATATGTCTCGTTATACTGACTATTTAACTTTAAAACGAACAGCAATTGTTAATTAAACATTTTTTTACAAATATTTGGGAGAATTTCATTTAATTCCTTTAAAATTAAGTAAAATTACTAATGAAATGTCAGCGATTGAATTGATGGTTCCCATCTCTAGCCTACATGTTCCGAAACTTACTTTGTTCGTACGCCCTGCGCTACGGTCGGATAAACACGACCGCTTCTTACGTCATAAACGAGTGCATACGGCTTAATAGTGTTGTGCTTTTGAAGTTTTACGTTAGTATGTCGATAAATGTACGTGATAGAAAGGATACATTAACACAAGACATTTTGAATTTGAAAAATAAAGCTAAGTTAAAAACAAATTGATATATTGCGGGGTTTTTCCAAAAAAAAATTAATTGCTTTAATATTATTTGGGGTTATATTAGCTGTCAAAACAATATCGTTTTCAAAATAATTCAGGTTTACATTTTTATTCTGAAGCTAGATTTAACAGAACATGCATTCGAATTCAGCTAGCACCTAATTATCTTACAAATACAACACTTGTAACAACATAATAATTTAAGTTGCTCTTGGACATGTTCACTTCGGAATAACCAGAAAAAAAAATAGGGAAAAAAGGTACGTAAGCGAATTTAGCTAAAAAACATTCGTTTACTTTTCGTCATAGCGAATCCTTTTTTGCAGCCCGTAGGTATCTAAATGTCAGTGTGACGTAAACGACGTGAGGTGCAAACTAAGCTTGGTGAGATGTAAGTAGTTGTTAGTTAACCATGCTCACAAATGCAATGTCGTTATTAAAACGAAATATCGACATCACAAAGTTAAGTATCGCACGTCCCTCTTTCTTATGTAGGTACCTATTTAATTTTCAATTCACTGTGCCGGGCGTTTAGGGCACGCCAACTGAAGTCGGCCGGTTAAAAGGTTAACAGAGCTGTATAGTGCTGTATGATAGTTATAAAAAGACAATATATTGAAATTATACAAACTAAAGGTACAAAACTATTATTTATTTGCTGTTTTATAATTATTGTGACCATGGCGTGGACGGCCATTTATAATATGTTTTTTTATTTCTTCTCTTCGGAAATAGTGATGTGGCAACGTAAAATCTCGCTTATCGATTAGTTCTAGTATTCACCAGTATAACACATTCATTAATTACTAGTTATTGACGAACTTAGAATGAAATCCGGGTTAGGCCCGTAACGAGAGAAGTGATATCACATCCCTCCCCCTCAAAACCAAACTTTTTGAATTTACATTAAATGCCTACCTTCAATAGGGATAATGGTGACAGGGTATGAATATCCAATTAATTAGTTCGCCAGTTAGATAATGGAAAAAATTACAAGTATTCTTTTTTATTTCGTCGGACAAAAAAACAATTAAGAAAGTTTTTGACAATGCAGAAAAAGAACGTGACAACTGTTTTGAATTTATCTAAAGACGGATATTAAAATCAAACTTCATTATCACCCTTACTTAACATCTGACGACAATGCCACGTATAGTCTATAAATATTCTATATACAATTCTATATATATCTGTGTATTAACAAGTGAAAGAAACAGAGTATACAGGGTGCGTACGGAGAGGCCGAGGCTCAGTGCTCACGCGCGATGTCGGAGAAGGCGTCCAGTATATGCTGCGTCGTCAGCGGCAGCGCCAGCCCCGCGGCCGGGTAGCAGGCCGCGATGCGCGCCTGCAAGGGATGCACCGACGTGAGTACGAGCGTGCAGCGGCGCAGGAGATGGCGGGCGGGGCAATACCTGCAGCGGGACAGTACCTGCAGAGCGACGTGCTGCGCGATGAACTCCTCCTGCATGGCGCGCCACACGACCTGTAGGAGGCCGCCCTCCTCGCTCAGGTGCTTCTCCACCGTGCGGTACAGCCGGTGCAGAGACTTGCGAACTGCGCAGTGGCATACACTTACATACTCTTTATATCACAAAACCTACATTTTAACACCTTCACAAATTAGGTTTGAAAACTTCAAAAAATAAATAATAAGTATAGTATGTGGGCAAACTGTTAGGTGCGGCACTGCTTAAAAAATTCTGTTTCATGTTATCTCGCGCAAGAGTTTAGTGCCTTTTAGAATTAACCGGTACATCAAATGGGCTCTCCAGTCTTTTTGTTCATCGAATGGGTCTAACCCAGCAAGAGTTCAGTGCGTCTACTGGTGTCACACTTACAATTCCCTATTGGATCACATGCGGTTAATTTGGAATAAAGGAGCAGATCATTCACATATACCGAAACTAAGAATGGACCTAATATTGAACCCTGCGATACGCCCATAGATATCTAGCACCCCGCTAGTTAACTTTGTTGACTTGTTTTCCTGAAGTTAAACTTATCTCTAGTAGTACTAGTGCTACACTTAATTAAATTTTTTTAAGTAGTTTTAATTTCGCGACAAAAATCCAGTCTTGTTGCATGTGCATTTGCATGATTGCATATGAGTGGGATTATAATACATATATAATATTATAGAAAACTAAATATTTTTCATAAAATTTCATTCCGTAATAGTTTCTCGTGCTTAACACAATGAAAAGCCTTCGAAAGATCACAAAATATTTCGATGGCACCCTGTGCCAGATTTTCCACATGTCTAAAATCAAAGTGCAAATTGTTTAATTTCGTTTTTCTGTGTACTGTAAAATATTTTATTAGGGAGTTAACAATATATAGACTCACACACAGATTGTTTGATCACCAAAACGCTAAAAGAGCATTAGTAAAACCTAGCGTTGCACCTGTTCGTAAAACGCGTCATCGTATTGTTTTATTTTATTTAATACATAAATGTATGTAATATTTGTGAAAAACCATTCGGTGTACAGCAATAATGTACTAGCATTACCGGCGACACTCACCCTCGTGCGCCGGGTACATGGCCAGCACGCGGCGCAGCTCGTGCTTGCTGAAGGCGGCGCGGTAGCAGACCTCGTCCTCCCGCACGCCCTGTGCCACCGCCTCCGCCACGCCCTGCCGACACACGCAGCGTCACGCTCTCACGCTCTCACGCCCGCCACGCCCGCCACGCCGCGCGTCGAGCGTCACTCACCTCGAAGAACTGCGTGAGCTTCTCGAGCGGGCGGCCGAAGTACTGCGTGACGTAGGCGCGCAGCGCGTCCGAGTAGCGCGCGCGGCACTCGCGCCGCAAGCTCTCCAGCGCGGGCACGCGCAGCGCCGACAGCACGCCGTGCAGCCGGTGGTAGTTCTCTGCGGGCAGACACACGCTCAGCCCGCGCCGCGCCCGGCTGGGGGGAGGGGGGACACTCACCCATGTGCAGCACGGCGCGCGGCGTGCGCGGGTGCTCGGCGTGCTGGATGGCGTGCAGCATGGCGCCGGCCAGCGACACGTACCAGCGCTCCAGGTCGGGGCGGGGGAGGGGGGAGGGGGGACACTCACCCATGTGCAGCACGGCGCGCGGCGTGCGCGGGTGCTCGGCGTGCTGGATGGCGTGCAGCATGGCGCCGGCCAGCGACACGTACCAGCGCTCCAGGTCGGGGCGGGGGAGGGGGGAGGGGGGACACTCACCCATGTGCAGCACGGCGCGCGGCGTGCGCGGGTGCTCGGCGTGCTGGATGGCGTGCAGCATGGCGCCGGCCAGCGACACGTACCAGCGCTCCAGGTCGGGGCGGGGGAGGGGGGAGGGGGGACACTCACCCATGTGCAGCACGGCGCGCGGCGTGCGCGGGTGCTCGGCGTGCTGGATGGCGTGCAGCATGGCGCCGGCCAGCGACACGTACCAGCGCTCCAGGTCGGGGCGGGGGAGGGGGGAGGGGGGACACTCACCCATGTGCAGCACGGCGCGCGGCGTGCGCGGGTGCTCGGCGTGCTGGATGGCGTGCAGCATGGCGCCGGCCAGCGACACGTACCAGCGCTCCAGGTCGGCGCGCCGCCCGCTCGACACGAAGATGCGCTCGCACGCGTCGCTCAGCGCCTCCAGCTCCTGCAGGAAGCTCAGCAAGCCGCACTTCGGCTTCTTCGCCGCCTGCGAGGACATACCTCCACCGTAAGAGGCTCGGAGCTCGGGTAACCAATACATATAACGCGGACCAATCACAGAAACATTTTGCCAACAGTTTGGACGTAATTCGGGTTCGGACACATTGATTCTTCTATCGTCATTTTTTAAATTCTTCTGAGTCTTATGAAAACACTTAGATATACAGACGGAGACGGACATACCTGCTTGACGGCGTCGGGCAGCGCCGCCAGCCGCTCGGCCACGCAGCGGTCCGCGCCGCGCTTGGCCGCCACCGCCACGCCCGCCAGCGCCGCGCGCGCCCACCGCGCGTCGCTGGCGCCCCCGGCCGCGCCCGCGCCCCCGCCTGCGTCCGCGCCCGCGCCCAGCACGCGGCGCCCCACGCAGGCCAGCGCGCGCATGGCGCCGCTGCAAGACAGGGCGCGCTACAGACGGCGCCACTAGCCCGCCCGGCCAGTGCGGCGCAGTACTCACTAGGGGTCGTGCCGCTCCACGTGCGCCACGAGCGCGACCAGCTCGGCCTCGAGCGCGGGGAACAGGTCGCACATGAAGCGCCGCGTCTCGCTGGCGCCGCGCCGCGCCTCGCCCCGCTCGCCGCCCTCGCTGCGCTCGCCGTCGCCGCCGTCGCCCTGTCGCACCATACAAGTACACACCGATGCATTCGGAGGATACTGGCCATCACACCGACTGCCGAGTTACCTTAATGTCGATGTCCAAGAAGAAGAATTGTGTGCAAAAGTCTTGCTCTGCGTTGCACAAACTCTCGACCAAACTCAAAACCTGTAAAATATAATATGGATTACGGAACACTATTGGTAGGTAGTATGGTCAGCAGTCGGATGGTACATGTGGGCGTGACTCACAGTGTCGAGCGGCTCGTCGGCGCGGTCGGGGGGCGCGGCCGCCAGCGCCGCGCGCGCCGCCTCGCACGCCGCGCGCAGCTCGCGCTCGTACACGCGCGCCCACGTGCCCACGTACACCTGCACACAGCGCGCTGTTACTGCGGCCGAAGGGGCCTCGAGCGCTGCCGCGCGTCGGGGGCCTACCTACCTTAGCGAGCGCCTCGAAGGCCTTCTCGTCCATGTCCTTGAGCCAGCGCATGAAGGGCGCGTAGGGCAGCAGGTCGGCGTGGTGGCGGTGCGCGCGGGACTCGTGCGCCGCCTCGTTCCCGAGGTGGATCAGCGCGTTGTTGAGGTGCCGCGCCAGCGCCGCCGCCAGCTGTGCATACATACTGACACTTTGGCCCACTTTGCAGATGTTTCGGGGGGTTGGGAAGAGGGGCGGAGAGAGTATTGTCCTCCGGTACCCTCACTCAACCGCCCAAACAAGAACTGTGAAACACTCCGGTCGAACTTCACATTCTTTTTTCACATTTAATTCTTCTTTAAGCAGAGGAAGTGGCAAACTATTAGTAAGTTTCGTCACGATGTTTCATCTCCAGATATCGGTGGTGTTAAATAACCACGGCATACCACGGTTTAATTAAAATAAGATTTTTTTAGATTAAATTAAGAAGAGGACCTGGTCACGTGCACGCGAGAGGCGGCGGAGGCGCTCGCGCACTGCGGCGAGGCGGCGGCGGGGCGCGGGCGCGCTGGCCTCGGCCCGCAGCGCGCTACGCAGCGCCTCGGCCGCTGCCAGCGCCTGCGCGCGGCCTTCGTTCGACGTCAGCGCCACCTCAGCCAACGAATCTAAGTCGCGCAGTGGAGCCGCGTCCAGCCAGCCGAACAGGTCCGCCAGCTCGGCCAGCAAGACGCGCGCGTTAGCGTCGGCGCGCGCCGCGTCGGAGCGAGCGTGCGGAGCGGCGGGGGCGGCGCGGGCCAGCGCGTCGTAGCGCCGTAAGCGCTGCGACAGCGCCGCGCCCGCGCCCAGCCCGGCCTCCAGCCGCTCGGCCAGCGCGGCGCCGGCGCCCCCGCTCTCGGTGGCGGCGGCCAGCATGCCGGCCACGTTGAGCGCGTCGAGGCGCGCGAGCCGACTACCAAGACGTCGCACGCGCCGCTCAGCGTCCGCATCGGCGGGCTCTGCATCCTCTAGCAGCGCGCCTAGCGCCGCATCCGACGGGGTCACATCGTCGCCACTCTTTGTTATATTCAAAATTGAATGTTATGTTAAATTCTTTGCTTTGTTATATTAAAATAATATTGATCTAAACTAGCGTAGCTTGTGACCTCCTAGAGAGTGTCTCGGTCACTAGTACGTAATTCATCATACACACAAATATCATATAAATTATTTGGACATCATAAGGACAGTCAAATAAACTACTCTGCTCTCATCAGGCAAAAACGTGTTTATTAATATAAAGAAGCATGTTGAGACCTGAGAAATTTGCTTCCTGCAGCTACAAAGAAGCAGGTCTTGGTCATTTAATATGCAAATCTTTTGAATGAAAAATCATCTTTGCTGCTGGAATCTAAACAATGATGATCTGATTAAAATTAAAACAGAATTTTAAATTACTGATCTGGGATTTTAGTTTTCAATCTAATTTCAGTTTTGAGAAGAATTGAAATTTTATTACTCAAACATTGATTTGAAATTCCAATTGATTTTATTGTACTGTGCATTTGTGTTTTAAAGTTTTCTTAATTTGATGATTTTGATTGTGACGAGATTTTAATTTTTCTTAGTGTGTTAAGCAGATCACATATCACACAAGTAGCTAGTGCTCACTTACAAAAGATTGATGCACTCCTTAAGTTGACTATGTGACCCTCTATTGAATTAATTTAAACAATTGTTCGAGGGCCAAATAAATAAATAAACCTGAATTAAATACAGCCATGTTTCTACACTCTGTAATTAAGATGGTTGCCAATTTGTGAGAGTAGGAAGCAAAGGATGCTAACTTCTCAGTTTCTGCAGTCTTGTACTCTAATAAAATAAAGGTGGTGAAGTTTTAAGGGCGGACAAAAAATTTTGTTTGTCATTCACAATCTGATATCAGACTGAAACCTATATTTTGGGGGCGGCTTTTCGTTACTTAAGTCATCGTTTCAAAACAATTGAAAGAGCGCTATGACTCACCACATCGCCGCAAGGCAGTTCCTTACTGATGTCCCATTCTCGTTGTAGTGTCTCTTCGTATTTCATATTGTAGTCCTGGCCAATTGAATACTAAGCTGTTGTTCTCACAAAAACATACACGTACATGCTACTAAAAGATACACACTATAACAAATACACATACGTTTTGGTAAATTACCTATGTACTTAGTGCATAAAGTTAAATAAATAAATTACTTAACAATGAGAGTAATTTTATTATGTATGTTTACAAAATATTTGTTACGATACAATAAATAAATCCTTTCAAAGACCAATTATTATTCTGTTGTTTTGACATTTACATTTTGACAATTTAATTGACATTCGTCATAAACAAACTACAGCTGGGCAATCAAGAGTTTGGTGAAGAGATAGCATTGACATGGGATATATATATATATTCTATCTCAATGAGAGATAGATAAACATAAAATTTTAAGTACTATTTGAATGTTGACTGAGAGTTCAGTCTCCTAAATGCGTCACTGCTGTCCAATATTTACTAAAGCCCGAAATATATTACTGAGGCTTGGCGTGTCGTGTCGCCCCGATTTCAAACATTTTAAATGTGGTCTTGGCACGGGAAATGCCTTCGATATAAGTGTGTGGCTAAATTTTGTAGTTTGTGTCAGCCTTAGACGATAAGAATTAATTCCTCCATGAGTTTCAGCAATCTATGAATGTAGTCTATGAATTTTGACAATAAACGACTTGTCAATTGACTCATTTTCGTTCATCTATCATTTTCATTTTAGTAAAATAACCTAACTTGCTGCGAACTGGAAATTTAAGTTTTTTATTTAATAAATAAATAATTAAAACAATGTCTCAAAAAGCGCCATCAAAAAACCCGAAATCTAAATCCAGTGAAGAAATTTTCTCTGGATTTCAAAATCTTCGAGCTGAACAACGCCAACTAGCAAACAAAATTTCAGAGTTGGAAATGGATCTCAACGAACATAAGTAAATATTAAATTACTACATATCACATTCATTATCTTTGGACCTATTAGAAACTAGTATTCATCTTTAGTACAGGCTTTACCTCTTACAGTCCGGTTTTTTCGATTGTAATAAAACTTCAAAACAATAAGTAACTGTAGTGTTTATGAGAAAATAAAGATATAAATTATAATAGTTTTGCAGCTAAATGTAAACACATTCCTAATTTTGTTACAGAATAGTAATTGAAACTCTCCGTGGTGTGGACAAAACTCGCAAATGTTTTCGTATGGTGGGCGGAGTTCTAGTTGAACGTACAGTTGCTGAAGTTTTGCCTGAACTTGAGAGTAATTGTGAACAATTGCCGAAAGCTCTCAAAGCATTGGAAGAACAACTTACAAAAAAAGGTCGCGACATTAATGAATACATAGAATGCCACGACATACGCCTCCAGCGAGTAGATCGCCCTCCTGCTGAGGCTGCACCAGAGCAGCCCTCGAAGTCTAATGTTCTAGTAGCCAGTGGATAACTTTGATTGTATTTATCATAAATTGTTATTAATATCTTCTTAAGTACTAAAAGCTTTCTTGTTTCAATATTTGGGACAGAAATGTATACCACTTGGTGCTTTAACAATCACACTCGTCTAAAACTACCAGAAGTCCAAACATGGAAGTGTTATTCAAATTATGGTGACCCAATGAGTGTAACATGGATGGGGTATTGTTAAAAGTGTACTAGTGGTACTATGTCTGAAGTATTATCGCAACTTGCTAACTAATTACTATTGTTTACTGTAAACTGCTTACTCATTAATGTATATAACATTTTACCAAATTTTAATTTTCTGTTTGAGTCTGATTGAGCCAGCAAATATTTTGTTTTAATAATATTATAGGCCAAGAAGCAATTCATGAAAATTTTTAACTTCATGTGAAATACATTAAATAAAAAGTTTTAATGACATTAATGTTTTTTTATAAATACATAGATATGCATTTCTTACTTGTTGAGTATGTTGTCTAGACAGCATTAAGTCAATATCAGTCTTTAATCATTCTTTTACAAAGAATGATTGAAATGCTTATTGGTTTATCCTACAAAATACTTTATTACGTCTTGACAGATTTAATTTCTATCGTGGCTTGCTTGGGTCAAATCCCCTGAGCTTCCTGAAGAATTCTGTCTGATAAAATAAGTTGTTACCTATATGTGCGGAAGTAGGTTTTAGTGTAGTGTTTATCCCATTCCATTTGAGGAAAGGAGCCAGCATCAACTCTGGACCTGGTGCAAATATACCAGTAGGTCATGGCCACAGGCAAATGGAGAAGCACTGGCACAAGTTTTATTCAAAATATAGTAACCATAAACAATGAAGTTTTTCTATTACATATTCACAGACTACTGTTGCTGATTTTAACAAAACATGTTTAATGAAACATCGCAAATTCAATATTTTTATATACAATTTAATAAAAATATACAAAAAAATAATATGTAACATGTCAATATATTACAATGACAACAACAGCCTTAACACTAATTGTTTTAATCATAATTATTAAATAATTCTTTTAGAATCAATATTCGTAATATTTTCTGTCTTGCATTAAAAATATGCAAACATATACACTTATTCATTATTTTAATTATAACAGCAGACACGTCATTTGATACGTCATAAAATGTTAAAAAATAAAGGACTGCAGTTGAAAAATGAATCAATATCATGGGTCACAGGTTCATAACCATGTTATTGGTCCATTTTTCTATTGCTTTTGACTATCAATACACCATTTTTTTTACAAATAACCTGTATTAGGTATAAACAGCCTTCGGTAAGGTTAGCTATACCTACCTACTATAATTTCGTCTCCTAATTAGCTGCACGTGTTGCTCCTGATGATACTGATGATCCTCGTCCAAAGTGTACACAAGCCCGGCGGAAAAAAAATCATATCAATTCTTAGAATAATTTTTCCTAGCTAATTGCCCAAACCACGCATTAAGTGGATTTCATATGTAAGTAGTAACAACACAAGAACTACTAATCACATAGATAAGTACTACCATATCCATTAATGATATTCATTTTTCTTTCTTTTTCTAGTAACATCTTAATATCGACCACAAAGAAGACAAATTCCGATATCGCCGGGTCGTTGTGCAAACTTGCGACCAATGATGATCAGTCTTCTTGGCTAACTAACTTATTGTTAACTTGCAGCAGTGATATGTTAACGATCTGATCGAGATGATATATCACAAACGTGTATTCACATTTTAATTTATCACAATTATTATGCGAGATTTATTGCACCTGGAGTTAAGGACACAAACCAGGACAAGAAACTCGCTTAGAAAGCTAAATTTTATTCATAGATTGTAGGAAACTGAAGTTTCTTTGAGAAACTGCTTACATATTACTTAATATGTTGGAAGATATTTACAACCTTGATTTAATAAAAAAATACAAAATAATAATAATTGTACACAATGACGTAACGCATCTATTACTAGCTAACTTTAGCAGAGGTCAACGTGTGTTCCCGAGTTTTACTCGACTTTGTAATAAAATTGGTATAGACGTGCAATGAGTGCGTGTAATGCGAATGTAGCTGAAGGAATGTTTAGCTGCGCCATCGCTGTAGGCTTAGGCACTATAAGGAGATCGTGGTCGATCGTTAATATTTTGTATCATTATAATGAAATTACTCTTAGGAACTTACATACATAGCACCTTATTAAGGAGGTACGAGACAGGAGAACAATGTTTTATAACAATTGTGAGAATGGTGTACGAGTACTTTGGCGAACGGGGCCGGGCGTGGTACTCCGAGCTGTAGTTTAAAAGTGCATGACGTTGGTGGGCGCGTACGTCTCGCCCTCGGGCAGCGGCGAGCGGTCGGGCGCGCGCAGCGGCGGCGGCGGCGGCGGCGCGGCGCTGTCGCTGCGGCCGCCCGACTTGTGCACCACGCGCAGCTCCGAGATGCGCATGGAGCGGTCCACCGACTTGCACATGTCGTACAGCGCCAGCGCCGCCACGGCGCAGCCCGTCAGCGCCTCCATCTCCACGCCCGTGCGGGCCGTGGCGCGCGCCTCGCAGCGCACGCGCAGCGCGCCGCCCGCCGCGCAGTCGCCGCGAGGCAGGTCGACGCGCACGCGCACCACGTCCAGCGCCAGCGGGTGGCACAGCGGGATGAGGTCTGCCGTGCGCTTGGCGCCCAGCGCGCCCGCCAGCTGCGCCACGGTGAGCGCGTCGCCCTTGGGCAGGCGCGCGTCGCGCAGCAGGCGCAGCAGGCGGCCGCCCACGCGCAGCTCGCACTCGGCCGCGGCGGCGCGCGCCGTCACCGGCTTGGCGCCCACGTCCACCATGCGCGCGCGCCCGCTGCCGTCCAGGTGCGAGAAGGCGCCGGCGTCGTCCTCGGGCCCGCACGAGCTGTAGGCGCGGGCGCCCGCCGGGGCCCACGCGCGGCGACCGAGCGCTGCCGGCGCCCACGGGACGCGCGGCGCCAGCGGCCAGACGCGCGGCTCCGCAGGCCGCGCTGTGAACGTTCCACATCACTGAGCAGCGCGGCGCGCGGGCCGGACGCGGGCCGGTAGCGGGCCGCACTAGGCGCGCTAGCCGCCGATGAGGATCATCGGACGGTTCTCCATGCGGGCCAGGTTCTCCATGCCTAAAAATATATGTTGAGGAACTCGCCTAGCTGGATACTTCCTACAGGCCTCTACTACTATCCAGTTGAATATGATGAATACAACAAGCTGAAATAATCACATACATAATATGTCAAGAATAACTCATATTCAATAAATTAATAAAACATTTAGGCCTCATTTAAGGAGGCGCGGCGCGTCGTGCGGCCCGTACAGCCGTAAACTAAAAGTATAATAAATGCAACAGTTTCCGCGTTACATTTTAGACTCTAGTTAGATACAACATATATATTTTAATTGTTCAGTTTTAATGTCGTAACTATTGATATGCCCTCATTAGTATACACCGAGGCTATACGTCGAGTTTATAGATCTATAAATAAAACATCTCTCGCAATGGTTGCCAATTCGAATTATAAGGCTCATGAGAAGCCTTACCATATAAATAGGACGTTTACTATCTACAAAAAAATTAACAACACGAGTAGGTAGTTAATTGGTTGCTATCAGGCTTTAGGTGGGCGCCACCGAAATATTGTTCACTTCGAACCGCACTCGGTCAATTATAGAACCTAACCTGTTCATTTACGCCACCATCCTCTCACACGGAGAAGTGTGTGTGTAAGTGTAATCACCACGCATGCGCGGCCAGATTGGAAAATTTCTTATTGATGTCTTGAATGTTTTCCATATTTCAGTAGCAGTTATTTAAATAAACAGTACCTACACATCACCCGGAAAAAGTCAAATAGACCTGGTTTCGATCGAAGTGTGGGAGAGTCAAGCTTCGGCACGAAGAAGTCGACTCGATGGAATGATACCACGGCCTCACAGAAAACTAGCGGCAGCGTGGAACAACTACAGCGTTGTGTTTTGCCGTCTAAGTGAGGCTGCGAGAGGCTCAATCCTTACCCTTCCCCTCCCGTCATCTCTCTCCAATCCTTAAACATCCGAAATGCTAATTCCCAAAAGGCCGATAACGCACGCAACGTATTTTAAAAAAGAAAAAAAAAATCACAGCAACCATAATAAAATTTCACTAGCACTTATAACATCCGAAAACAAATTGGTTGTCTTACAGCTGGTAATTTCAAGTCAAAACGCCAAACATTACAGTATTGTTACAGTTTATTGATGCTTACTTTGGACCTTAATTTATGATAGTATGATATCGAAATCACAATATACTTTTTTGTGTCGTAAGTCGGAAAATGAGCCAACGGATTACAGTGAGTAGCGGGCCTCTTGCGAGTTGTTACGGATTAACGGATGGAGAATGGGGGGTAACCTCTGATAACCCCTGGTAACCTCACTCACACGGCGAAACACAAAGTTTTGCTTTACGGCGGCTGGTACTGTGAGCCCCTTATCACTTTGATCGACCTGGACTATTTGTGCCGAAACATGGCTCTCCTACATTTAAATGTTCGAACTTTTTGCTAAAGCTAGTGCGAAAAGGTCCCGTGGAGCTAAACAACATTTGTAAATCTATATCGGAAAGGAAGTGGATCTCCACTTCCTTTGACCCATGAATCCTCGAAGCAAGACAACATACTATGATGGAAGGACGACATCGTTGGACAACTTCGACATGCTGAACGAGATTGGATGTCTTTTATCCAAGTCCGCCAAAAGTGGAAAAGAATGGAAACGCCTCCGACCAAATATGGGCAAAAAAGGCTGCTAGATACCTACATCGATTTTTCAAAGTAGCAAAGGAAACGGTTATATTATATAAGCAAGAAACTCGGGGTTATCAATTCAATGAATTTATATTTATTTTTAGCCATTAACCAATAAAGTCTCACGTCTTTCTTGTCCACATAACGCAGCGCGTATGTAAAAACGTGTATAAACGTTAGTGATGATTTTTGTGGTAAAAGCTAACACTAGCGACCCAAGTGAAGGTGATGCAGTGATAAGTACAAGTGAGAGAGCGGCGCACGTACCGGCATGGCGCGCCTTCTTGTTGCGCAGCGCGGCGCGCACTAGCGCCGTCAGCGCCTCGTCCGTCGCGCCGCCGCGCATCGCGTCGCGCAGCGACACCTCCGCCGCGCCGAACAGGCACACCTGCCGGACTCCACGCTCAGCTCAACATATTCAAGCTTCCATTTATTACATTTAGTCTGCGTACCTATACCTACTCTTGTTCATTTATGCGAAACATATCTTATTATCATATAGTAGCAGCGCGACGGTCGCCGAGTCGCGTGTCGCGGAATGCTGCTCATGAATATGGGCCTCTAGCAACTAGTCGAGTATCTCGTCAAATTATTACGTGAGTAAGCCGAAAACATAATAAATAATTTAGAATGTCTCACGAAAGTTTTAATAGAAACATATCTTGTTACATGTTTACGTAATACCTACCGTAATACGATAACAAAACAATAATGTGCAACGAAATCATAAGAACGCAAAAATAGCGTTCTTACGTCTAGTAAGAATATTCGTCTACATGAAACTAATGATGAAAGAGGTGATGTACCCGCGCAGGCGACCCCCGGCACTGAAGTCATGTTACACAATCATCGTATTGATGTCGCGATAACCTTAGCCCCGATGTTGACGCACGACACGACGCGTCACATAGTGTAGCGGAGCAAACAATGTGGGCGGCGCACCTTGAGGTTCCCGTCGGCGGTGAGGCGCAGGCGGTTGCAGGAGTCGCAGAAGTGCTGCGTCATGGAGGAGATGAAGCCGACATGTCCGCGCGCGCCCGGCACGCGCCAGCGCCGCGCCGTGTCGTGCGGCCGCGCCGCCGCCGGCGCCAGCGCGTGGCGCGCGCCCGCCGCCGCCAGCGCCGCGCGGTGCGGCACCAGCTTCGAGTCGTCCCAGCGATTGCCCGAGAACGGCATGAACTCGATGAACCTGCAACACGTCTCCGCGCTCAGCGGGCGCCGCCACCCCCGCCGCCCTCGCCCGCCGCGCGGCTCATCCTTACCTCACTTCTACGTCGCGGTCTATTGTGTAATCCACGAAATCACTTATCTCGTCGTCGTTGAAACCTGAAACAATCGCCATGGCTGTATTGAGGCGACCTCTCCTAAGACCACGTCCTACAAGTTTAACCTATCGTATTTACTTATGTCGACGTCTGTTCGAAGGTGCTTTCCTACATATAAGGCAATCGACCGTCACATATGTGACGTCGAGTATATATTCGTTATCGAGAACTGCCTACTCTGCGCTCCGTTTGTCAAATGTCAATCTTAAGGATCGAAAAGAAAAATTAAATCTCAAGCAAAAAGTAGAACTTTATTCATTTCCCAATGTTTCTAATATTAGGTACTAGAAGAAAAATGTCAAAGTCGACACCTATAATATTCGTAATTCTTTCGTGAATGTTGATCGTTTAGAAATTATAATGAGTCAAATAGAAATTGTGGTTTTAGAATTGACCTGCTTCATCATTTCGTGCTACTGGAAGGATTTACATTTTAATCTACACACAGTTGTAACAATGTTGAATGACAATAACTTAAAACCTTATCTAACAAAACCAACTTAGCATTAAGTTTAATAGCCAGTAATTGCCGCAACGTGCGTCACAATAATCAGGTAGCGGATGAAGTTGCAAGCACAACAGTTTTGGATTTGGAAATAGATGAAAATCTCAACAGGAAATCCTATGTAGTCAAGGTTTGCAAAACTAAGTAAATCCGCATTTTACAAGTGTGGCATTTAAGGCCAAAAAAGTGCATTCACCAAAAAAGTGCAACGTATAAACTAGCCACAGATAGATGCTACCCGTATTTTAAAGAACATACAATTTTAACATTACCGAGTATTTATATTAGGGAAATTATAAGTCTAGCCACAAATGTATTTATTGCGCACATTATTCAACTTCTAATTTAATAACTAAGCAACGGGGAAATGACATAGCCTCTGATAAACTAGGTAATTCGTCTTTTTTACAACGCCAACTAAATATTCAATAGAAAGTTTCAAGTAAAGATCATCAATTATTGTGACTTGTCCTTCTTATTTACTAACTCGGCAACTCGGCCACGGATTCTACATCTTGTCACCATTTTCCGTTTTACTGCTTCAACACAATATCCTCGAAAAAAATAATAACAATCAATCAAATTAACAATTCAATCAATTAACTTAGCATGTAAAACAATACATCATATTTTTTTATCGTGAAAATAGCCACTTTATGATTCGGCGCGAATACGGACGACAGCGACCTAATCAGAGAGCGCCATTCGATTCATGTGACGTCGAGTCGAGTCGATCACATTTATAGAAAGAAAGAAAAAGTATTTATTCGCGTCTAGGATGAACATAAGACACAAAATAAAACAAGTGTATAAACATGAAACAAAAAAACATGGTTATAATACAATATAAAAAAGAGTAGGTAATATAAGGAAAAATATGCGTCACAAGCACACGAAATGGCCCTCGCTCAGCATATGCAGCGACACTATGCGTGACTGTCGCAGCGCTGTTTTCAGCTATGACCGACAACTAACATGTAATTGTTAATTGTCGTTCGTCCGTTCGTATTGCAACTGTTTTTGCTAGAATTAAATTAAAGTTTTCCATTAGCAATTATTAGTTATGATGTATAATAGTGAGAGCCGATGTTCAGCCGGGTTTGCGGGGTGAGCTTTGATAATTTTCCTCGGACAAAAAAAAGTACAAATGCTTGCATTTGATAGACCTTGCAATCAGACTGCAATACGTGACGACTAAAGCGCGAGCTGCGATAATAATCCAATAATAGTTTAATTTTCTTTTTATATATATTTTTTATAATAGTTTAAGTACCTAGGTAGGTACATTATTTTTAAACAAATAGTTGGATTAAAAAAAGTGTTTTATATGATCTGTTTTCAATAGCTTCCGGTAGTATCAGTGGCCAATATACTATTTGTTGAAGACATATTTTAAATGTGCTGAGTTAAAAAAATAGAAAGTAAATAAATATATTTTATGATGTCACTTAATAATATTTTAGGAGTCTACTGTTAGAATGCATGCTACCAATTTAGATGCTAAAGAAGTCGGTTAAAAATAACCATCATGCTGAGTTGTATTTGAAGTGTATTTAAAGTTTACACAGAAGATAACCAGTAGCTAAGATAGTAGTATTAAGATGCTCGATAAATTAATTTAGAAGGCAACATACATTTTTGAAGAAGCCTGTTTAATTAACACCTTTATATTATAGAAATGGCTATATTTGTCAAGTCGAAGGCACAATATTAAAAAAAATTAACGACGTAAGTATTATCAGCACGAAATAGACGAGACAATAGTCCCTATGTCTTCAAAGAGCGAAGGCAACACTAATGAGCAAGATGTGTGTTGCATGCTGTAAACTATAACCTAATGACAACTTACCAGTCTGTGAATGTGACTTTGGTGTAATATTTTAAAGTTTGTATTCTGAGTTAAATAGCTTATCTTATTTCAGTATAAGTTTACATAATAATTTTCTTAAATTTCAATTTAATTTTACGTAAGTATATTGCCCGCCTCGTGGTCAAAAGGGCGGAGTTCGCAATGTAAGTACTTGTTATTGTGTATTTACAAATAAATAACTGTCTCACCTCTTGGGGTGGTACAGACAAGACTATTGCTAAAGTTCTTACTTCACTATTAATTGAAAAATGTTATTATAAAATTGCAGAATTTTAAAATGATAATCTAATACCAAAATAATAAGTAATTGAATTTTGTGAATGTGAATTTTTTGATGACGACACTTTGTAACTACCTAATATTGACATCTCATTTATAAATAATACTTGACATTTTTATTTTTTGATATTTTACAAATTTTTGACATTAATATTAAGAGTCAACATAGATAATAGAAAATGTAATTTGTATGTCAATTGACAAGACATAGCGTACTCTCAGCGTACTATTTGCCTTTTAAGATCTTTTATAATATCACGTAAGTTTACAAATTATTTGCTGTCTACTGAAAGAGCTCAAAGAGCGATTCTCGAGGTTGCTACTGGACGCCTCATATTTCTCTTTATGGACTTGTGACAGAAAAGATGGATGGAGCAAAATGTCTCGACAGTCTGCTATGCAAGGCATAAATATTATCAACGTCGTACTTACAGTTAAACATTTGTACAGACTATACAAACCAAATTTAGGTTTTGTTTTTATTATTCTTTAATCTCAAAAAATATTCAAATCATATGTTTTAAAGTAGGTAGATATTATTTATCTGTTGAAATAAATATTAATTATCATGTAAGAAAGGAGAAAAACTAAAATATTTTATTAAAGTTGTAATTGACTACGGAATCGTAATGTTGAAATGAGGTATAAATGAGGCTCGGAGTAGGGCGCACCTTACCTTTCATGAGCACGACGTTGATCTTGACGGGCGAGTACCCCAGCTGCAGCGCCAGGTCCACGCCGGCCAGCACGCGCGCCAGCCCCTGCGCACGGACACGCTCGGCTCGACACGCGCGGCTAGCGGGGACCGGGGGCCGGGCCTTCCCGCTAGCCGCGCGTTCCTCCTGGGGAAACTCGTCTACTGCCTTCTTAGTAGCTAAATCTTAATATTTACCAACCTCGGAAAAGTTCAAAGCATACCAGTAGGTACTTGCTATACCAATTTAGTAATTTTGACGTGTGTTCACACATGAACGTGCCATTTCAGCGAGATAATCCTACGTGATTAAAATAAGGAAAACATATTACTTATTAAATATATAAAACTAATAAAACATCACGTAATCACGTAAGGTATATAGCACTGAGATGGTACATTACACGCATAGCACACAATCATAATGTGGTATGTGTGTACATAGGATAAGTTTAGTATATAAGATCATGTAGATTAAGCAATAAAGCAGTCATTAAGTTGATTCCGACTTTGACTCACTACCCTTCCTCCACCTCTCACTGTGGCCAAGACACCTTTAGCCATCAACCGATCTGTCGTGTGAGTCTGCTCGACAGGCAGTGAGAAAACCATCACCACCATACCCCATTCCTACCCACATTCCGTCTGCCATCATAGGTCTCAGTTGGCAGATATCCTGCACCTATCTATATAAGTATATATAAATACGTATAGTAGGGCTAGGGTCTAGGGACTGTAGGGCTAGGGCATTAGGCGCGTACGAAGAGTAGGTCTGTATCACAGCATACCACAGTGTACCACTATAGTACGTGCCTTAGGTTAAGGGCTTGGTAGTAGGTGCGTAGAAGTGCTGGTCTGTATCACAGTATACCACAGAGTACCAAGCCTATACGCATTGTACGCTAGGCAAATATAGGATAGAACTTAGACTACATAGGTTATTGGGCTTAGGGGATCCAGGATAGGATATTGTAAGTGTTAGATTATCTAGGATAGTGTAGGATAACGTTAGCTAGTAGTACTTAGGATTAGGTATTTAGTCCTGTACAGCGCGATCTTAGCGTAAGGCTATTATCACGCTGTACATTTTGGTCCTTCGAGTCATCGGTAGAGAATCATCTTGTCCCTTAAATTGACTAATTGACTGACAGACAATTGGTATACAGCAGACTTGCGCATAAACCTAGCGCTTGTTTCGTTGTATATCAAGTGACTGACTAACTTAGTTTGCGTCGTTCGGTAGCGGATCAGGTATCGGTCTCCCTGAACAGGGTCGCCCCGGTGCTCGAGAAGTCGCACATACCGTAACGAGGATATAGATCGCAACTAAGTGTAATTGTTCTACCCCCTTATATCATTGTTAGGTTGGTTAGGATAGGATAGGGCAGCAAGATGGAAATACAACAAATCAACGAAATTGTGAAAAGTCAGGAGAGCCACTACAAAGAAATCGGACGCATATTCAACAACATCAAAAAGGATTCGACATCAAGAAAAACAGAGAAGTACATCGCAGAAAGAAGATCGCGACTCACAGAAGTCTTCACCAAAGCATCAGCAAACCATTCACTAATTGAAGACCAGGAGATCTTAGAAGAACATATCTATATGAAGTCTAATTACTTCGGGATCATCAAAGAGCTGTATAAAGATGCTATGGATTATTTGGAACAATGTGAGGCAAAACTTTCAATTTGTCAGCAACCTTGTGTTCGGGACCCAGAAGAAGTCAGAACCAACAGTAACAATTCAGCAAAAATGAATTTGCAATTGTACCGCATCAATCAGTTGCGTCAAAACCTCGAGAAAGCAGCCTTGGCGATTGAAGACGACAGATCCAGCTATCACTATAAAACATTGCTAGAAGCCTTGCAAAAACAGTGTGATAAAGTTGAAGAAGGCCACTTCAATATCTGTGAGGAAGAAAACATCTTAGAACATAGTTATTTTCAGGATGAAGTGTTTGAAAAACTGAAATCAGACTACGATAACATAATTGAACGACTATATGAAAAGCTACAACAACATCAAACTGATCACAAACCATCCGTGAAACTACCAAGAATAGTCATTCCAATGTTTATGGGAAGTTATGAGTCGTGGAGCTCGTTCTATGACTTATTTTTAAAAATCATTCATGAAGATAACTCACTCACAGATACAGAAAAGATGCAGTATTTAAAGACGCACGTGAAAGGTGATGCAGCCAGACTCATTAGGCATTTGACAGTTTGCGAATCTAACTATGCGACTGCGTGGACATTGCTTAAGAATCGCTACGAAAACGAGAGAATGATTATCACTAAGCACATTGACAACATTCTCAACATACAAAAACTGAAGGTGGGCTCTGCGAATAGTTTGAAGTTTCTGCATGATACAATTAAGGAGAACCTAGAGGCGATTAAAAATCAGAAAATTGATATCTCGTCATGGGATCCTATGTTAACAAGAATACTGAGTCGTATTTGGGATTCGGAAACTGACGAAAAATACGAACAACAACTCGTAACGCCGAACAAACCTCAAACATTTTCATCAATGATGTCATTTCTGGAAAAACGGTTTATGTGTCTCGAAAATACCATCTGTGAAGGAAAATCCGATTATAAACAACATTATATTCCTAAATCTATAAATAGCTACAAGTGCTGGCTATGTAATAGTTACAATCATAACATATACATGTGCGCACAATTTAAAGCATTGTCAGCAGAACAGCGTAACAATAAAGTGAAGGAGAATCGAAAATGCAAACAGTGCATAATACATGACTCATCCGTTCAATGTCATAGTAATGGAAAGTGTAAACATTGTGGCAAACTAGGTCACCATTCATTATTACACCTTGACATTCAAAAGAAGGGTAATGTCAACAATTACGTCACTAAAGATGACAACAATAAAGGGTCAAAGGATCGGAAAACCATTGAAAACCCTACTACAAGTACAACTTGGACAAAAACCAAGTCAAACATGTCGTCCACAACAGGACCGGACACACAGGATACAACGCTTTTAGCGACGGCCCTTGTGCATACATACACCAAAGATGGTACGTCACACCTACTAAGAGTGCTGTGTGATCAAGGTTCCCAGGCTTCATTCTGCACAGAAGAAGTAGCCCAATTACTATCCTACCCTCGCAGAAAAATAAAATGTGAGGTAGTAGGTATCGGTGACGAGACACCGAAGACTTCAAACTACAGTATTGAAGTGAACTTACAACCGAGATTTCCAAGCGAATTTAAGTTACCCGTAAAACTCATTATCTTACCAAAGTTAACGGGTTCATTACCAAATAAAACTATACAACCAATACAAGCGGAGTGCTTAGTAAACACTTTAATTGCAGATCCGACTTATTACAAACGAGGTCCAATAGACATAATATTGGGCGCTCAAGAATATAGCAGAATATTGTTGCAAGGCCTACACAAAATAGAAAGCGGTATTATTGCCCAGGACACCGAGTTTGGGTGGATATTATCCGGAATAAGCAGTAATCCTTCCACAAACAACATACGAATCACTAGTATGATAACTCGCTCAGTTGAAATGCACCAGTTAACAAAATTCTGGGAATTAGAAGAGATACCTGAGGGAGATAATCTATCTAACGAAGACCAATTATGTGAACATTTGTATCAACAAACCACAGAAAGAAATCGAGATGGCACTTATACTGTTCGACTTCCAATTAAAAACTCTGACGTCGTTTATGGAAATACGCGCCAAAGGGCCGCTGCGAGACTGTTTCAATTAGAACGAAAGTTTGAAGGAAACAAAACACTGAAAAACCAATACAAAGAATTCCTAGACGAATACCTTAGAATGGGTCACATGAGAAAAGTGCCACAATCAGATTACTACCAGGGAAAATATTATATACCTCACCAACCGGTGATTAAAGAAGACTCATTAACCACCAAATTACGGGTAGTATTTGATGCGTCAAGCAAGGCTAAATCACACACAAGCTTAAACTCTAATATGTACACGGGACCTAGGTTACAACAAGACTTGGCGTCTATATTACTACGGTGGCGTAAACATAGAATAGTATTCATGGCAGATATAGAGAAGATGTACAGATTTATAAAAGTAAATGAACAAGACTGGAAATATCAGAGAATATTATGGAGGGAGTCAATAAAGTATCCAATTGCGGAATACGAATTAACAACCGTTACGTACGGTACAGCATCTGCACCTTATTTGGCAGTAAGGACGTTACAGCAACTGGCAAATGACGAAAAAAGGAATTATCCTATTGCCAGTCGTATAGCACTTCAAGATTTCTATGTCGACGATATATTATCAGGGGAAAATGAAATCAAGGCCGCAAAGCAGTTACAAAAAGAATTAACATGTATGTTACAGACCGGTGGATTTAACCTCAGAAAGTGGTCATCGAATAGTGCGGAATTATTGGAGAGCATACCAAATGATAATCAAGATAACAAAATGTTTAGATTGCCAATAGACGAAGCCAGGAAGTCATTAGGAATTTGGTGGACACCGGATAAAGATAGCTTTTCATATGAAATCATAGTTAATAAAAACCAAAGTCCAACAAAACGGTTCATTCTGTCAGAAGTTTCCAAATTATTTGACCCACTTGGGTGGTTGGCACCAGTTATTATTAATATGAAACTAATCATCCAAGATCTTTGGGCAAATGGAAGTGAATGGGATCAGCCTGTAGAGGACTCTATAAAGAAAAGGTGGGAAGAGATACAAAGCCAATTGAAAGCACTGGAAAGTATATCAATTCCGAGATGGTGTCATTATACACCTAATGCGCAGATTGAACTTCACGGATTCAGCGATAGTTCCGAAAAAGCGTACGGCGCAGTGGTCTATTGTCGAGTAATAAAAAGTGATAACTCGGCTGACGTCACTTTATTACAAGCCAAGTCCAAAGTAGCGCCAAAGAAACGTAAAATAACTTTACCTAAACTCGAATTGTGTGCAGCGTTATTACTCGCAAAATTAATGAAAAACGTTATTAAGGACATGCAAATGGTTAACATAGATATATATTGCTGGACGGACTCAATGATC